CTTGGTCTCGAGCATCTGAGGGAGGGTCTCACACAGGACGCCTGCATGAACTGTAGCTGCATTACTTGGGCGCTCAGAGCGGCCAGAGTTACAGAGGTGGAGCGTCTGGCAGCAGCCAATGGACACCTCTCCTTGTCGCATCTTCCCCCAGCTCAGTTCGGCCGTTCCCGGCGACCCGAGGGAGCGATGGCCACGGGTTCGCCCCCCAACAGGAGGACTAGAAACAGGCTGTTCTCTAAGGTGGATCGATCTCCCGCTTTAGCTCTGATGCCCGGACCCTGGCTGCCATGCATGATCCGGCGAGGGTTGGGCTGGGTCGCATGCCACCCATCGAGCCTGCCATCGCCTCCCTGATTCTGGCTCCTGATGAGGCTCTAAGGCCTGATGCCAGGTGCCCTCGGCCTTAGTGCAGGGTCACTGACTAACTGCTCTGTAAGGCCTACGACGCAGCGGCACGCATGGGTCGTATCGGGAACTCTCTCTCCCATCTAATGCTGGCCGCCTCCGCCTCTCTGCAGCAGGCTTCGGCTGAGCCTTCTTTGCTAGGCCTCAGTGATGCATCACTGCAGGCCTTTGCCCTAATGACTAGGTAATTGGGACGAGTCATGTCCCTACTGGTGCAGACTCGACTAACGGAGACATGTAGGAGTGTCCTCTGCGGCGTGCCAGTCGAACCAGGGGAGCTGTTTGGAGCAGCTGCTCCTTCGGCAGGGTCAAGATGACAGTTGTCAGCGACCCAGCGAAGGCCTTAGCTCTGGCCCAAGAGCTGTCCGTCCTCTTGGCCAAGGGCGCAATCGAGCAGTAGACCCCCTGCCTCAGTCCGGGGGATTCTACTCGGCGTACTTTCTGGTGAGCAAGAAAGTCGGCGGATTTCGTCCAGTACTGGACCTCAGAGGAATCAACAGATTCCTGGAGGTGCTGCCCTTCCACATGGGGAGTGGTTCACAACCGTGGACTTGAGGGACGCCTACTTCCACGTGCCGATTGCGTCCCACCACCGGAAGTTCCTGAGGTTTGCCTTTCAGGACCAGCATTATCAGTTCTGGGTACTTCCCTTCGGTCTCTCCCTCTCTCCAAGGGTGTTTACCAGGGTCGTGGCGGAAGCTCTCGCACCCCTGCAGGCACAGGGCATGAAGGTCCTGCCGTACCTAGACGACTGGCTGGTTTGTGCGCCGTCCCGGTCCCAAGTGGCCGAGGATACGGCGCGCCTCTTATGTCACGTAGCCCGGTTGGGCCTGACAGTAAACACCGGGAAGAGCTGCCTGGTCCCCTCCCAACGGGTCACTTACCTGGGGTTGGTCCTAGATTCGGTCGCCATGAGGACCTACCTCGTTGTGTGGACGACATTTCCCACCTTCTCCCCATCTTCAGGCTGGGCAAGAGTGTGCCTTACATTCAGTTCCTCCGGCTCTTGGGCAGACTGACGGCTGCCTCAGCCGTTGTGTCCTTAGGCCTGCTGTCGCTGCGCCCTTTGCAGATGTGGCTGAACAGCCTTCACTTGGACGCCAAGTGGCACAGGCACTGTGTCACGCTGGATAAACAGGGCCAATCTTCTGATGGGCGTGCCCATGGGCGCCATCCCATCCCGCCGGGAGACTGTCACTGTAGATGCATGTCTCTCAGGGTGGGGTGCGATGTGACAGAGCAGGACTGTTCAGGGTCTGTGGTCCGCCCAGGAAGGTGCATATCACATCAACGTGCTAGAGCTTCGCGCTGTGCTGCTTGCGCTCAGGCACTTTTTACCCCAACTGATGGACCAGCATGTGCTTGTTCGTTCGTACAACATGTCCGCGGTTTCCCAGATCAACCACCAGGGGGGCACCAGGTCCGCACAGCTGCTCCGGGTTTCACAGAGCCTCTTGTCTTGGGCGTCTCCCCGCTTGGCCAGCTTGCGAGCAGTCTTTCTACCAGGAGACTGAAATCAGGTGGCAGATTTCCTCTCTCGGCACAAACCTCCACCAGGGGAGTGGAGGCTTCACCCAGAAGTGGTGGAGACAATCTGGAGCCTTTTCGGCAGGGCCGAGGTGGACCTCTTTGCCTCAGAAGAGTCGAGGCACTGCCCCCTCTGGTTCTCCTGGACAGAGGTGACCAGCCCAATGGGGCAGGACGCTCTGGCACACGACTGGCCAGACAGTCTCCTGTACGCCTTCCCTTCCCGCCGCTGTTATTACAGACGCTTCAGAGGGTCCTTACTCAGTCGCCCCCCGCTGGCCGGGGAGAGTTTAGTTCCCGCTGCTGCGCAGTCTCTGCTGCACAGTCTCTGCTGCGGCCCACCATGGCGCCTCCCCGACAGGAAGGACCTTCTGTCACAGCTCAGGGGTCAGATCTAGCATCCCGACCCTCACCGCCTTCAGCTCTGGGCTTGGCCTCTGCGGGGCCCAACCCACTGTTGAGCGTTTTTATGGCATCTGTCAGGGAAACTATCCTGAATGCCAGAGCACCATCCACTCGAGTACAGTACGAGTGCAAATGGAAGCTCTTCTCCCACTGGTGTTTGGGTAAGGCTGAGAATCCGGGACATTGCTCTGTGGCCACCATTCTGGAGTTCCTGCAGTCCCTTCTGGATAGTGGACGTTCTCACTCTACTTTGAAGGTATATATGGCTGCTATCTCTGCCCAACATGTCGGGGTCGACGGCGCCACGGTGGGGCGCCACAGGTCGGTGTCCCTCTTCCTGAGAGGGGCCTTACGGCAGCGTTCCCCTAGTACCCCGAGGGCTCCGGCTTGGGACCTGCCCCTAGTGCTAGATGCCCCATCATCTCCTCCCTTCGAGCCCCTGGCCCAGGTGGGGCTTAAGTGGCTGTCCTTGAAGGCAGCATTTCTGCTTGCCATAACCTCAGGGAAGCGAGTTGGGGAGTTGCATGCCCTCTCCGTGAGCGATACATGCCTGAGGTGGAACTCTGATGGCTCGGGTGGTGCCCTCTGGCCGAATGTGGCGTTCCTGCCCAAGGTGCTTCCACTTGCCCACTCCAATCGGCCCATCCAGCTGGCACGCTTTAACGTCCCACAGGAGAGCCGCCCGCCCGAGTTGCTGTGCCCCGTGCGGGCCCTAAGAGCGTATCGATGCTACGGCCTGTATACGGCAGTCAGAGCAGCTCTTTGTTTGCCATGGCGGCACTAGGAAGGGTAGTGCTCTCTCCAAGCAGCGGCTGTCCCACTGGGTTGTTGATACAATCGCACATGCCTATGGGGCCAGTGGCCGCCCCCTGCCATCAGGGGTGAGATGCCACTCTACAAGGAGCATCTCAACGTCTTGGGCCGCCCTAAGAGGAGTGCCCCTGGAGACCATCTGCGCCACGGCGTCTTGGGCGTCTTCTGGCACATTCTCCAGGTTCTACCGGGTCAATGTCGCCACCCCCCATCCTTTGGGCATGGTCCTGTTGCCAAGCTCCGCTGCTTCCAGCTAGGTGAGCATTTGGTTTCTTCATGACATGGTTGGTATAAGTCATCCAGTGCTAAAGCACCGTCTCTGGCGGTCAGTAGGGACGAAATAGAACGATAGTTACGTCTGTAACTACCGTTCTAAGAGTTCCGGATGACCGCCAGAGTTTCCTGTCACTCAGAATTTTGTGTGCTCGCGAGAAGATTCTGGGAACAGATCCTCTGATGACACCAGCTGATATAGCCGGTGTCACGTGGGTCACAGGTGACTTTGTTGTTATTGGTACTCGTACGGCGCATGCTAAAGCACCGCCTCTGGCGGTCATCCGGGACTCATAGAACCGTAGTTACAGACGTAACTATCGTTCTGCATTTAAAAAAAATCATATGCAAGCAACCCTGAACATGCTCTCTGTTTTGTATGCAATAGCTCATCATCTTATTAATGTCCTATGATGAGTTCAACTGTGATGGCAGCATTAACATTGTTATGGTAGGAATAACAATAACACCAATATAACAACACAAACGCAGTGAGGGGGGCATTTAGTTCATATTGAATTACAATTCAGTTGTAGTCAACATGCACAAACACATTAGCATAAGTCTGTGAAGGACAACCTTGAGTCACACATTCAGTGTGTGTGTGTGTTTAGAGAAAGAGCCCTTCGGATCACCATAAGTAGCAGAGTGAATATCAAATTAGTTAAGGTTATTAAAGATCTCCTTGTTTCATTGAGACCTAAGTTCGCAGACACACACTTCAAAGACTTGCAGGACTGCTCTAAGGGCTTCTTGTGTCTTGCAAAGCCGACTAGTTTCGGCAACTGAAATCAGTGACGGCAGCTATTTTTAGGATATGTGAAATGTATCTCAGACACACAAATCATGATGAAATCCTCGTGTGCCAGGGAGCGTCCACCCCCCCCCCCCCCCCCCACAGACAAATATACACATTTGTAAGAGACAAGAGAAATCATGCATGCTGAGGGAAAAGCATGGAGCGTGAGAAACATACATAAATTAATAAATGTAGGCCTGCAGTATGCTAGGCACAGCCATGGTTGTATTTCCAAGTTATTTTAGAGATCAGTGTTTTGAGTAAATCAATGCATTTCCAAATAAACGTGTGGTTCATAATGGGTTTATGAGCTGATAAACAGCTCATTACAAAGTCAGACTCACTGATGAAGCTCCAGTGCTTCAGGCCCAGCAGGTAACTGTTACTGAGAGACGGCAGCCCCCCCCCCCTGACTGATGAAGTCGGCGTGTCGTACACCGGGGGAAATCAACCGAGGGCAGAGAGCACGGAAAAACCAAGGGGGGAGGAGTCGTGGCCAACAAGCAGAACATCCTCTCATTAATAAAATCAGCTGATGAAATTAGAACATCTTGATTGGACACACACACACACTTCCTGAGCTTGCACACTTCTCCATTACCCCTACATAATCAAGTTATTTACTGGATTTCTTTGACCGGAAATATTCAAATGTTTGTGTGACAAAAAGATAATTAAGGGCCTTATCTATTTAAAAATTTCGTGGTCATTTAATAAGTTTCGTGACCACCGTGAAATAAGTTTGTGTTTGTAGAAATCGAAAAAAAGACCAAACTTGTTTACTGAAACATTTGGTTTATTAGAAAGCTCTTTTAAAATATTCTATAAGACTACATAAAAAAGGTTTGCACCACATGAATACACATCTTCAATACACAGTATAAAAATACCTTTAAAAATAGCACCTTTTCTCTGACAGATAAACATGCAGTCGTGATCATAAGCACACGTTCCCCCAAACGATGAAATACATTATGTACAAAATATTGGCAGAATATTGTGCTAGGTTCTTCATATTTGTCAAAACTGTACTCATAATGATAAACAAATATATAGTGCTTGCATACTGTAGGTATAATGTAGAGAAATATGAGGAGTTATTTCAGGCACCTGGGGTTCAGGAAGTTATTTTCATTTTTATTTTCACTTTCAGGGATTAGAAAGGGTTGAAAATCATCTGGTTGAAATCATTCATTTTAACCATGAAAAAAAAGTTCATAAAAATGTCGAATATAAGTCAATTTCAACTCTGTTGTTAGGGACTTAAGTTAGCTGTATATGTTTTTGTTTGTTTTACATAAACCTGTAATGTTTGTCATGTTATATTATTTTGAATTAGCTTTGCAGCAGTAGCTCAGTTTGTAGGGACACATTTCATATGGAACAAGTACACAGTGTGTAGAGACTTGTACCTGGAGAGGTGCCAGTTCTCATTCTGGGCGATGCAGGATGAGTCAGGCACCACCCCCCCCACTCCTAATACTATTAAAGGGTAAATGAAGAGTCTTAAATTCATACATTTGCTACAGTGTACATGTGTGATGATAAAAAGAAGATTCAAATTCCTCCATTTCAAATTGTGTCTGGTCTGCGGAGGCTACTACTAAATACCAAACTGACTCAAAGACATGATTTCTCAGAAACAAATCTGAAGTACTAAACTAAAAGTGACTCCTGTGTGTCTATGTTGAAGAACTTTACATTACAATTATAATTAGAAGAACACTTTGAAATATTGGTACTTGTGTGTACAGTTTCTACAGTCTGTACATTTAAGGAGTGAGCTAAATAATGAAAACACCTTATCCTTGAAGTAACTACCAGTTTGGTAAAGTTCATAAAGGGTGTTTATTTTTGCGGTCTGTAAAAAAACACTGATGTTCTTTCATACAGTATGTTCCTTTTAGCTAATGCTGCTTTCGGGATTGTTATATTTTTCTCTGTGACACTTTACAATTTATGTAACAAAGGCTGCAAATCATGACAACAACAGCTGCTCCACAAGTGAGTCATAGTCATTGTTAAATGCCAAAAAGCAGTATGCATTAACTTTAATATGGAGGTCTTTAATAATAACGCAACCTTTTTTGCAAAGAGGTAGAAAACAAGCCTTATTATAAATTGTTGACTCTAATCTTTGTGATGCAAAAACACATAAGAAACCTTTTTTCTTTTTAATGCGACCATCCAATCAATAACTGCAAGATAAAATGAACCTACATCAAGTGCTTTTTTTTTGTATCTAATTATTTTTCCGAATATACCAAGAAACATATTTGTTAAACAAAGTGGCTAGTCAATACCAAACAATTGTATTGACTAACCCTTTTCTAATGTCGAAAGGGTTGAAAAAGTGTTTTCAATTGCAAAATATGCAATTATTTGGACCAATTTTACAATTATTTTCTAAATAGAGAGAAATGTCTTTTAGTTTTCTTTTTCTGATGATAAGTGGAGTAACAGGCTTGATGTAAAATCTCTGAGCAATACTACAAACTATGGCCTTAAAAAAGGAACATAATGAACTTCACCAGATTGGTACATACTTGAGGAATATAGCATTTAAGAGTGAGGTGAGCCATGTGTCCACTCCCTCTCTGTATGCAGTCATAAGTCCTTTGTTTGTATACAAGTCTGTGTGGAACATGAAATGGAGAAGATATGGAAGGTACTTTAACACAGTACTGTTGTTCAGTTAAAATGAGAAATAATAGTAAAGGAAATAATTGTTTTCTTGATTGTAATGTTTTACTGCACAAGAAGGAAAGTAATACAAAATTATGTTTCTACTAATAAACACTATTTGGGCTTTTTTGTTGTTGTAGTTGCATGTTTTGGAGAATATAAAGCAAGGAAGCACTCTGGCATCCCGTCTGAACCTGGGGTTGGGTTAGGCCTACAAAAACAATAAATAAACAAAAACAAATGTTGACAATTGACAAAATAATACTCTTTAAAAGCTATATAAAGGCTAACATTCCAGTGGCAGAGGAAGATTGGTCCTCATTCATTGTGCTGTCTTCAAGGAAGGACGACCTGCACAACAGACCGCTCATTAGTCAGCATATATTCAATACCTGACATTAACTAGTGTGTGTGTGTGTGATTACCTTCGGCCCCCCCAAGGCAGAGCTCCTCACACTCTTCCAGCTCGAGGAAGCGGTTGTCGTTTCCTTCACAGCCGCTGTAGATGAAGGGCCTGCAGGCCTGAACCTGGCTGTTAAAGTACCAGCGCATCGTGTACCGTCCACAGCTCCCCTCCTCCATGGGCAGCAGGCACACGTCTGCTGGAGCTGCACAACACACAGACACACAGGTGAAGAGTGTGCACACCAAAAGGCAAACATTGAGTAAAGGGAAGGCGAGGTAGGAAGGAGCAGAGGCAGAGCAGCAACAAAGGGCAACAGGGGACCCAAAACAAACATTCAAGCCCACTTTGATCAAACTTATTTAAACCATAGCGTTAATCCGTTAAAGTACCTCATTTATACTAATGTATTATTCTTTGTTCTTTTCATTTTACTGGATGCATTACTGCCTTTCAACAGTCAACAGCAAATGCAGCCTGAGACATGCAGAGAGGGCCAGACACCAGGCAGGAGTACCCCTGATCCCATCCCAGAACCAGTCAACAGCACGGCCGCGGGTTTACCTTCCCCATTGACTCTCCTCTTGGACCTGACTGATCTGGACATGACTGCTTTCAGAGTGGTAACTTTGGCTGCTTTCTGACCACCATCTTTTGCTGTTTTCTTAACGTCAGCTGAGGCTGATTTTTTTGGTTGAACTTTGACTGTTTTGTCAGTGTTATCCTTGACAACCTCACCTGTCAACAGACACACACAAACACACAGGCGCACACACAAACACACACAGGAATCGAAACATTCAGTAAATAAAACAAAAAAAAGAGACATTTTGCATTAAAGTGTTATTGGGTTTAAAGAACACGGTCCACGTTAAAGTTCACAGTCAGGATGGTGTGTGCTTGTAGCTTGCATGTGTGAGAATATGAATGGTCAACAAAGTCTCGTAATGTTATGAAATGAGCACAAAGTGAAACAAACACTTAATATGAGACATGCTCCCCTGGCGCAAATTTGATTATGTGTCGATTGAATAAACCATAGTATGGGACACAAGCAAAGATTTGACTTGCCAGCTTTTATTTATCAAATGGAACTGAAAAGTTTGTAGCGTGTGATTGAATTGTGTTAGAGTTAGGGACATTATAATTTAGATAAAAGGCAAATCCCAGAATATGGCATCCTTGTTATTGTTCTTGTATTTTTGTCTGTTGTGACTGAACATTTTAATCATCACCTCCATTTTAGACTTCAGCATAATCATCATAACAGATTAATATAAATAGAAATGTGGTCCTATCAATAAGCTTAAATCATTTCTTTGAGGATAGGATAATGATTTGGTCATGATTAAATCATTTTGCACAAAAATCAACACTCATTTCATTGTATACGTTTGGAGAGGTTGCTCGGTATCAGATGTACAGTATAGTAGGACTGCACTTTCTGGAAAAAATAACTAGTTGCGATTATTTTACCTGATACTGCATTTGTGATTTTACTCCAGATATTTCAGGGAATTACCCTTTTTGAAACAATAATCAGATTATCCATGAAATGTTTTTTTTTAAATGATCATGGTGTCATTTTTTAAGAGTAACTGTATCAAACAAGGAGGTTTTGTTAAGTCTGTGGAATACGGCTTGTAGGCCAGGACTTCTCTGCAGCACCACAATAACTCATCAATTCAGATATCTTCACATCATTTGCTTTATCAAATATTGCACTTATGTGATTGGATATTGGATATTGCTTACTGGATATTGCACTAGACCATATTGTAATCCATATTAAATGTAGTAAATGCTCCTAATTTAATCTGTGTTGTTGGTACGTTTTCAAGGAGACACATGCATGCCGGCTTGCACACGGGCAAAAATAGCAAGCCAACATGGATGTAACCATGTAGATTTCAAACTCCTACAAAAATCTGCGTTGCAAATTTAATTTTGAGCAGTGAAAACCACAAACTGCTTGTCGGGTGATCGAATACCTTCAGATTCTAATAAACACCAAACGGTACCTTAGGCATTTTAACTTTGGGAAACTTTCAACTTTCAAGCAGGGAACACTTTGATTTCTTAGACAATGTGCTCATTTTGCAAGTTTCACACGAGACCAGGTTGGCTGAGGAGGTGCCCAGTGTGTGGGAAAAGTGTTATTTCAATGTGTGATAACGTTGGTCACTATGACACACTGTACCATCACTCTGGTTTGCAGAAGGAGTGAAGTAGAGCAGCTCGTCTAAAGGTTCGTCGTACGCCTCAATGGAGTAGATGTGTTCATAGTCCGGGTCGTTGGTGTTCACCACCACACGCAGCTCACGACCTGAGAAATGTAACGTCACACAGGTCACATCCTTCACCACGGCCCATGATTCACATAGCAAGAAGCATATGTAATACAGGCCTTTCGCTGTTGCAGCTCCCAGTACATATCCGAACTGCTCAGTCTATTGAACTTTTTAAATATCAGCTAAAAACTCACCTCTTTGCACTGGCTTTTAATACTAGTTGAACATAACATGTTGACATTTGTAGGCTATGTGTTTGTATATGTTTCTAGTTATTGTGCTTTTTATCTTGTTTTTAATTATCGTTTTATTATTTTACTCCTATTGTGTTATTTGGTCAACTGAGGTTGTTTTAAAATGTGCTATATAAATAAATAAAGATTGATATTCATAGAGATTATATTTGCCTGGATACACAGAACACATTAAGTGGGACGTAAATGGAGTTCTCTGTTTTCTTGATGAGAAAACCACCCATTGTTCAGAGATCTCCAGATGCAGCACCACAAGTTAAACCTGTTTGTTAGGGACGGACAGCAGACAGACACACAGATCGAGGGCGACCAGACAGGCAGAGCGATGGACGGACACACTCACCCTCCTTACCCTTCACGACCAGCTGTTGCTCTGGTACAGGCCGAGCCCTGACCGGGGGCTGGGACCGACTTACTGGGTCTGAACCTGAGGAGCCAGATAGAGAAGATGGAGGGGACAGGGACACCGAGGGAGCAGAGACAGGATTTAAGAAAGCGGGATGAGTGTTACACAGGAGGGAGAAAAGGGGGACCGGAAAGCTTAAAGTGGACCTATCATGCAAAATGCACTTTTGTACGTCTTTTATACATGAATATGTGTCCCCGGTGTGTCAGGGAACTCACCAAGTGTCAGAAAACACAACCCTCCCTCTTTTCCTTCATACCCAAATCTCTAAAAACGGGGCTGCATCGGATCTGATACAGACTGATACAGATTTGAAATATCTCTGACGTCAGAAACGAGGCGCTCCGCCTATATGGGCAACTCTCCACCTATCAGGAGGAGACAGCCACGGCCATTGCCGCTCGAAAGCGCTGGAGACGCTGTACTACATATGCCAGGCCTGTAGGTGGCGCTGTAGTCTGCCACAAAAGCAGCGAAGAAGACTTCTCACAGATTCAGCCCTTGCAAAAACAGGGCTAAAAAAGAGCAAATAGAGCGAAATGAGGCATGGCTAAAATGCGTGATCTGTTTGGTATTTTGAAAAAAAAACATCGCAGACATGTTTTATATACAGTAGGTATGGCCCTACAATATATTATTCAAATATAGCATGATAGGTCCACTTTAAATAATGTAAAAAAAAGAAGAAAGGACCGAGTATTCTGGTAGTAAAACGTTCAGAGCCAACTACAACCCATAAGCACCACAAAAATAATTCCAGCGTTCCAACATACACACCAGCTAAAAGGATTTACAGAGTTTTTGCAAGACTGGTCAACACATGGCAATCTTCCAAAGACTGGATGTAATCCTTTAAGGACACAAGTCACTGCTTTATGGACTTGTGTCGCACTCGAGTCAAATATCTTTTGACTAGAGTCAAATCAGCGCAGATTCAACTTAACACCCCAGACTCAAACCGTGACTGATTGCAAATAATGAAACTTTTTCTTAGGTAATAATAAATGAATTAAACATGAGTGAAATGTGTGTTTTGGCCTCATTATCAGTAACACTGCATATTTATTAACTGCTGCTTCACAACACAGATGACGTTTTGAATTGATTAGCAGTTCAAAACAAACACATTTGTCAAAACTTTAGGAAAAGTTGATCATTTTGAGTCTATAATGGCAATCCCTTCTCACTGGTTAGAAAAATGTGTTGTTTATTTCAGCTAGTTCAGATGATATGCAATATAATAGAAAAGCCATTGCCTTCGTTTGAGCATTGTGTCCAGTGATGTGTATTATCATAAAAATCAATTCAAAATCAAAGAGCAACAAAAGTATACACAAAATAAGCCATTTCAGTCCATTAATCAGATGTTTTAAAGATGTATCTTAGGCAGGATCCCCTACACAGGATGCAGAGACTTTTTAAGATGAATCTTAAAAGATATTTGACATTAAGCTTATATAACCCCATCTCGACTTTGACCCCAATGCTGCCAACAGTTAATGTCTCTATGTTATTTTTGTGTGCATGAGGTCAAATGCTCATTTAAACCACACACAAATGCTTAATGAGGGCAAATGCCCCAAAGCATTCTACTAATATATAATGTATGAGACTGACTGCTCTCAGGACAGACGCTGCAGCAGCATATGTGGTATAGCATACTGCTGTGACTCATGCTAAATCACAGCCCTTCTGTCTTCTGCTGCAGTCGAATGGCTCACTTACCTCCACACGCTGAGGATCAGACAGATGGACAGGAAGGAAGCAGAAAGAGAGGGAAGAAAAAAGGTCAGTCTAAAGAGTCATGGCTTTGTTGTAGTTCTCTTCAGCTCTTTCAGTATCTTACTTTCATAGGGCTCAGTGGAGGCTATGACTCATGTGCTGTGATTACTATCTGAAGTTCAATTTGGGGACAGCTCTGTTATAAATAAGCAATGCAAGCTGCATGAAAGACTCACCACAGTGCTGACCCATCTCCGAGCGAACGTACTCTCTCACTTCATACTCCTGAATTCGAAATAAAGAGTGGAAACAGATGAAAAAACACTTACAAACATAGCTTTAATATAAACTCTGCATATGTTTGTGTGCTCATTGGTATCCGCCTGTTCAGATTGAGCCCCGCGGTTCAGCTCGAGCACTGACCGTCATGCCTGGCTCTCCTCTGTCTCCCTTGGTTCCATCTAGGCCCAGCTCTCCCTGCAACATGGACAGGTATTAAGACACACACACACACCCACAGAGAGGCTTGCAGCACATTAATACATTAGGCTGAGACCAGGTGCGGCACATGACCTAAATACAAAGTCAAAGTGAAAAGTAAAAACTGCAATTGCCACTTTTACATATACATTCAATAAATGTAATCAAACTTGGTTTGCCAGTGTCTACATCCTGTGTATGGGATCCATTTGACAAACTATATATGAAAATAAAGCGGAGAAAGCTCTGATAATATGTGGTCATCATTTGAGATTACCAGTCGTGGGTCCTTACAAATGTAACTGTGCTGAGTGATGGAAATATTCTTTGTGATGTTTTTTACAAGTATTCATTTAAAGGGGACCTATCATGCAAAATGCACTTTGTGATGTCTTTTATACATAAATATGTGTCCCCAGTGCGTCGGGGAAATCACGCAGCGTCAGAAAATAAAACACTCTCTTTTCCTCCGTACCCAAATCTTTTAAAAACGGGGCTACAACGAGCGGATACAGATTCCATCTGAGCTGACGTCAGCCCGGAATAGTGTCCGTTCACACGAGACGTGTCCGTTCACACGAGACCGCTCAAAAGCGCTGGAGACGCTGTAGTACATATGCCAGACCTGTAAGTGGCGCTGTAGTCTGCCACAAAAGCAGCAAAGAAGACTTCCCGCGCATGGTTGCCATGGTTGCCCTTCTGTTTATTCTCCGCTGTGGACGCTCTGGCTCTTTTTCTCCCTCCCCGAGGCAAGCGTTTGCTCCTGCTGCTGTAATTCTCTCCGGTTAATCTACCAGCAGATGAAAAACACCCACCTCTCCGCCTCTTCCAAGGGACGAGGGGACCGTGCGGCAGAGTTTCAGTTAGATTTTTTTCCGCCGGTCAACATGTCCGTTAAAGTTTAAATCTTCCGGACAAAAAAGAATTAGAAAAGTGCCGGTCAAAGGTCTTCTTTGTTATTTATTGAGCTTTAAAACAAATGAATAATGACTCTGTATAATCATATATAAAACACGGAGGACGGAGCCTCTCTTTTCCTCTTCTGAGAGCCCAGCAGCTGATCTCTGACCACGCTCCCCTCTCCTGCAGGGGGGCGTGGTCAGCTGCAGGTCATTTGCATTAAAGCTATGTCACAAAATCAGCCCTTGCAAAAACAGGGCTGGAAAGAGCAAATAGAGCGAAATGAGGCATGGCTAAAATGCATGATCTGTTTGGTATTTTGAAAAGAAAACTTCACAGAAATGTTTTATATAGGTATGGCCCTACAATATATTTTTCAAATATAGCATGATAGGTCCACTTTAACTTCCCGACCTGGAAAGGCTTCTTTTTTTTTTTTTTAAATCAAAGATGGCTGCCAAGAACACAACTGAGGAAATAAGTGTGACACTCACCTGCTCTCCGCGCTCCCCCGAGACTCCTGGGATACCGCGTGGACCCACCATGGAGGGGCCGATCGGACCTCTCTCTCCCTGAGACACAGGTAAAACAACATTATAACCAGGGCTGCACATAACTGGTGCGCAGGTGCGCATGCGCACCTCGGCCAAAAAAAGAGCACCGGGTCATTTGAAAAAAGGCGCATTTGCGTACCAACATTGAGAGAGAGGGAGAGAGAAGGGAGAAGAGAAAAGAGAGAAGAGAGGGAGAGAGAAGGGAGAAGAGAAAAGAGAGGAGAGAGAAGAGAGAGAGAAAGATATTTGCGAGTTGCATATGAACTCAGGGCCGGCCCGTCGCACTGGCGTTGATTTTCGCCTAGGGCGCCAGATCTGTGGAGGCGCTGCGCTGGTAGTTCTGGGAGGGAAAAAAATATGTTTGACTGTTGGTGCTCATCCTAATTTTCGGCCTTGATGTAACAACATTCATAATTAAGTAAATGTAACACCCTTTTCACCCCGGTTACACGTTTCATTTGCCCTGTACGATGTAAGTGATGAAAATGGGGGGATGTTGGCTTGTCTGGCGCCCGCAGCTCACAGCCAAAATGCGAGTGAGCGAGGGAGAGAGGGAGGGTGCACCGGTACCGGCGCTGTTGTTATTATAATCTGGTGCTAGCTGCGGATATAAGAAGAAGATGTTTCTACAATGATGTGGAGGGAGAGTCCTCTCCAGTCAGACCGAGAGACTGATAACTACAGCTCAGTGAGGTAAAGGACTCTGAGTGTTTAGATAGTTCACTTTAGTCTAAGTTCAAACGGTTTGGTCACAATGTATGTAAACTAGGGCTGTCAAACGATTAACATTTTTAATCAGATTAATCACAGCTTAAAATTTAATTAATCATGATTAATCACCATTCGAACTATGTCCAAAATATGCCATTTATTTATGTATATTGTTGTGGGAATGGAAAGATAAATGAAAGAAGGCGGATATATCCATTTAACATACAGTATCTATGTTTATTATAACATTTTTCTGCGTGTCAAAATGAAAGACAACCCACACACCTATCAATCATCAAACCGTGGGGTCTTAATTCATTACGTGTTGATTTCTATCAACGGGGGAGTACTTCAGGAAAGTCGACAGAGGGGGGGCGGCGGCGGCTAGTGGAGTACTTCGTGACCACAGAGTGTGAACGTTGTGATCAGCTGTTTTAGGGCAGTTCTCCAGTGAAGGGGGGGGGGGGGGAAGTCTCCCTCCGCAGCCGGTTGGCGTAGTTTTGGCACAATTCCGTTGTACAGACCGACGTTAACAGCAGCCCTGTCTGTGCACACGGAGACCGACTCTGTCGTCCGGTGATCTAACTGCCTTCTGGAAAAGCTTCACAAGTACGTCGGTACGCAAATGCGCTTTGTGACACAAGTGACGGTACGCATTTCAGAGAGATTACGCACATAACCTGCGTACCAGTTATGTGCACCCCTGTACTACAGCAAAAGTATTCTCCGTCGGGACTTCCTGCAACAACACCACGCCGTTATCAAAGATGTTCTATTGAGAGGACGATCACTACGTGACAAAAGTTTTCAAAACCGTGGCTACTGAAATCAATCTTACTAACTGCTGTCTGTGCAATTTACTACGCGCGAGTTGGCAGACTTTATTTTGCTTACTTTAACATCATTTTTCATGGTGGGGCTAAGCCATTTCTGGTGTAGCCTACCCTAGCCATACCCTGGCGCTGCCACTGGTGGCACGTATGGGGCGGGCCATTCTGCACATGCGTTAAATGCATTAAATATTTTAATGCAATTAATTCAAAAAATTAATTACCGCCGTTAACGCGATAATTTTGACAGCACTAATGTAAACACATATTTTCAAGGCACTCCTTTATAATTATTGGGATAAACAGGTTTGAAATCATTCCAATGTATAGGCCTACTATAGGACAGTAACCCAACATATCCTTTTAAAACTGGACTTTCAACCCAAAACCATGCTGTTGACTTGTGGATGCAAGCAGCTAATCGCAGACTCAACCAGAGAGAAAGTAGTAGGCCTACATCATCAGCTACCATGTCTGACAGAGAGGAAGACAGTGAGGAGAACAGTCAGGAGGGTAGTGATGACAGCTTGTAGGATTACTGGTCGTGCTAATGTTGTCTTGTGTTCGCCTCTGCATGTGTGTTCTGTGTTCACCTCTGTGTGTTCTGTGCCGTGTGTCTGACAAATAAAGACCGGTTTATTTATTTCATTTTAAGGATGAGCACCAAGCAACATCTCCAGGTGCTCCTTGGAGAACCAGGGCAAAAAAGTGATGTGCACCCCTGATTATAACACAAAATATGTCACAATTTGTAACTGGCACAACAATTTCCTTCGGGATAAATAAAATAAAATACCGAATATCGCGGTAAATAAACGTCCCTATTCTTTCACACACAGTGACTTCACGAGCTACCCACAATGCAACACGCGCCATATATATATATATAAATACGCCATTTTCATGGAGGTGCAAATATCCTGGAAGTGCAAATATAAACAGCTAGCTAACGTAGCAAGGCAGAGCGCACTAGGTTTTTTTTCTGAATTAACGACCGAAGAAATCGCTGCATGTCTTCAGATTACATCTCTGGACTTGAGGGGTGTGCTCTAGGTCGTTACCAGCGTAAACTAGAGCTGTGTGGGTTGTCGGATTGCCCTTACAGACTGCGTCGATTTTGGATGCATCTACGTCTAATTTCTGGAAACACCAGGTGAATACCCCACTTGTCACAATAATATTATCATGCCATTGCATATATGTGGTATTTTAGAGTTGACTAGATATTGATTAAGGCAATAGACTATGATATTCAGTACAGGAAGCTTAGCAACACCTAGACGGTGTACGGCTAAACCCTTGGCCTGCTTGCACCTCGTGTAAAACGGCTGATATCGGAAGTACGGTGTCGCCCTCGGCCCAATACCCGTATGTGTGTGTGAAAGAATACCGTCGTGAGACTGACAAAATCTACCGCGATTTTTTTTTAAATTTTTAAAAATATATATTTTTTAAAAACACTTTTTTTTGTTTTAAACCTTTATTTAACCAGGTGGTCCCATTGAGATCATCGATCTCTTTTTCAAGAGAGACCTGTCCAACATGGCAGTAAGTAGGTTGCAACATAAACATAAAACAACAGATAACACAAAAGGACATCGTATTTACAGGGCTACATGTACATACCTAGAGACATTGACAAGTACCAACAGTATATGTATATCTCGCCCTGTCAATAAGCCTCACCTTCTTGGCAAAAACTGTATTGTTTTTGAAGTGGTGGAGAGACAATGCACAGTTTGACCCACTGCTGTCACCCATGGCCAAAGCATATCTCTCCGTCCCACTGAGGTGGCGTTAGACTTTTTCGCTGTTCGCACACTGCACTGTAACTTCTATTCATGTAGGCCTACCTGTGTTATTCATGTTTTATTATCTTTGCTTTTAAATGAGTGTTTTTAAATGTTTCTGACAGACAGGATCGTAAAATGTCCGTCATAATCCCTTATTACCTGTCGAGTCTGAACTGTTCACAAGAGAGCACGCTCGTGAACTGTCAACGGGGGTGGGGCGGTGTTATGCCGTGTGTGCATGCACCTCGCGGGAGCGCACACAGCGTAAAGCAAAACCTCCCAGACATGTGTTGATCTGTACGGCAAAGTAAGGTTTGGAAACTATATAATTTCCTTTTGGAGGGCATGCATAACACGGCATAACACCAGAGCCTCGCTGCGGGGAAACGTTGGCGCTGTTCCGAGTTTGTTCTAATCTGTCAAAATGACAGACTGCTTTCAGATTTTTCCGTCATTGATAAATAAAATATTTGGTTAACGCGACCACTGCTGTCCCAGCAACATCAGTACCAAGCGAGAGAGTTTTTTCCAGAGCAGGGGATATTGTAAATGCCCAAACATCCCAGCTTATAAATACCTGGAAATGTGGACATTCTCATATTCCTAAAAACCTGTCTGATGATGCTGAGTGAGTGACTAGTGAGTTTGAGTTGAGTTACTTGAAAAACTAAAGTGAAACTTGATTTATTTTATTGCAGGGTCTGATTATTAAATGTCCTTGTTTATTTGTGAGATGCGGTGGCACAAAGAAAATGCCTACTTTGTTTGGTAGTAGGCCTACTATAGGTACAAAAACACTGGTTTTCTTGTTCCAGTCTGTTACTGTCACTTTGTTTTTGACACTTTAAAATACTGCTATCCTACTAAAATGCTGTACAAATCAGATTTATTATGTAATAAAGAAACATTTTCCGAGTAAAAAAATTGTTTATTGAAAAAAAAATTTGATTTTTTTTCTTTATTATTCAATATCGCGATAAATACCGTACCGTGGACTTGTTATCGCGATATTATCGTACCGTGAGTTTTTGGTATCGTTACATCCCTGCTATCTTATCTTTTGTCTGCAGTGGATATATTTAGAACAAAATGTGCGTTACAAGTTAAAAAATTCATGTTACAAACTATCTTATTGTCCCTGTGTACATATTCCCTGGATATTTTGTCTGCATAGTGTCAGTGAAAAAAAGAAAGTTAACTGTTCAGGTTGAACTTAATTTCCATTGTACTTATGCTTCTTCAAACCAGATACTGTGTGCAAAACTCAAACGGATGATTCAGACATCAAAGCTACAAAGAATACAACTTTAATACTTTCATTATGCAGTTCTGGTTTGTTGTGTCCTTTTAGGTTGTTTTTAAAGTTTTTGTCTTGGTGTTTATTGCTTTTTAATCCTATTAACAGATGCTCAGTCTTCCTTTCAGGCTGCACCCTAGCTCAAATATTGGTTTGGGAAATTAATGCAACTAGGTTGACTCAATTGGAAAAAAAGGTGCGCCCATCAAAGAGACTCGATATAGCCCTGCTCTCCTGTCACCGGCTTTCTTTATTTACTTGATGATGCAGCAGAAAGGCCCATCTAACTGTCAATCAACATGAAGCAATACACAGCAATCAAAACCAGCAATCAGGCGAGGAAGAAGAGGAGATCAAACTCAGGAGTAATACAAAAGTCTCTATTCTATTTATGGCAGTCTTGCACTAAATGTCACAACTGTCAAAAACGAAAAAAGTATATTTGTTGCCACTCACGCACCTCTGACTGCTGAAACGGTGTGCAATCATAGTGAAGCCATTGTACCTTGTCTAATCTTACTCCATTGTACATTTGTGTTCTTTGCTAGGTCACCACTAAATGTTCACAGTTTTGATTAATGGGGCACCAATTAACTGTTGTAAGAAAGGCTTGTTTAATTTGCATATAAAATGTGTATGTATTAATTACCTTGTGTTCAAATTGTTGACGAAGACTCTGTTTTTCTCAAATGCCTCAACAGTAACCAAAGAATAAAAAAAACTGAGACAATTCTTGATAAAGCGAAGTAATTGGGTTCAGAGTTTAGCAAAAGCAAAACTTCCCAAACACATGAAACGATGCGAAAACCATGGCGTTTAAAGCACTTCCACATAAACAACATTTGCACGGACAAGTAGCACACCGGTGTGAGTTTGTAGACAGATGTTTAATAGTGTTGCTGTTGTTAAACACAACAACGTTTCTCTGTTTTTGGATTCTCACCAACGTGTATGTTAAAAAAAAAATTCTGAAGGTAACTACATTTTGTGAATAAAGTATTATTTGTATAGACTGCCCCAATATATGTGACGTGTAGAATTTGTCGCACTCCAGCAAAAGTAAGGAGAATCACCTTTTGTCCCTGAAGACCCTCTGGGCCACCAGCACCAGCTGGTCCCTGAGTGCCAGTCAGGCCCGGGACCCCGTCCACTCCTCTAGGGCCGGGGGGGCCAGGGATGCCAGACGGGCCCTAGAAGAAGCACAGAGACAGTTATCTATGGATCTCAAGGTTTCCTGTAGTTGCGAGAATGAGCGATGTTGTGCTTCTGATAGTACACAGAGATAAGGAACAGCGTGTATGGTAAATCTCAAGCTGAAGTTAGAAACTCACCCTTTCACCTTTCTCTCCCTGAGCGCCTTTGGGTCCTCCAAGCCCGTCAAAGCCACGGTCACCCTAAAACAGACTGAAAAATCATTCCACAGTTCCAACATACACACCAGCTAAAAGAATTTACAGATTTTTGCAAGACTGGTGGCAATCTTCCAAAGACTGGCTTTAATCCTTCAAAGACTCAAATCGCTGCATTATGGACTTGGTTCGCACTCGAGTCAAATAAAAGTGGTTACACTTTATGTTCGGACACATTGATAGTTAGAGATAATAAAGCACATACCTTGGGGCCCACTAGTCCCTCTTTTCCGGAGATCCCTGGGACCCCAGAAGGTCCGAGCTCCCCCTGGGAAACAGAGAACATGCCTGTCGATGCCAATCTCAACTGTCACAAGAAGGAATTTAATGAAAAACGTATTTTTTTTATAGCACAGATATTACTCATACCTGTTCGCCTTTTCTTCCTGGTAGGCCTGATCGCCCATGAATACCAGAATCCCCCTGAACACACACATTCCAATTCATCCAATGTTTAAATACTCACCACACTGTACATGACTCATGAATGTCTGACTCATATGATTTATACAACTCTGAATTATAATCAAAACATTACACCACTAGCTATTAGAGAAATGTTAACATGCTTCCGTTTCTTTGCTCATTATTTGGACAGAATAAAAACCCAAGTGTCAAAATTCCAGTGGGTGGGAAATTATCCCTGTTACAATTTCTGTATTCATGCTTATTTCTTCTTTTCTTCTTCCTCCTACAAAATGTTCTCTGCCTGTCTAAATCCCACCTTGCCTCCTTTGGGTCCATCGCCTCCACAAGCCCCCTTGGGTCCTCGGTCACCCTGGAAACACACAAGTTCATCATTGACAGAGACATAATAGAGAGGCTTGTGAGTCACAAAAGGGACAAGACATTCCTTACCAGACAGACAGACAGATCTCTATAGATACATTCAGCCCTTTCACCTGCCAATCAGACTGCAGCATTGAGCACTTACACATAGAGTGGACATGAAACAATGTCACCAGCTACTTCTAAACAACGGCGGACATGAGGCGGAACAGGGTGCTATCATTCTCCTGATAACGGGTGTTGAGACAAGTGGCAATACAGCTGCAGAGCTCTGGCGGATGTTGTCTGTTCCAGCCGGGCTAAATCCACCCTTACATGTGATAGCACACTGGTATTATCTTCAAACGAACACAGTGAACTTGGATGGACTTTTTCTTTCAACATCTTTCTTTGTAGACTTAAAATGTGGCTAGTATTTCACACAACTTTAGTACAGAATACAATTAAGAGTCTGAACTTTGAACTTAGGGTCTGAAGAGTGAAGCCAATGCCAAGGGCCTTAAACGTGCAGCACATCCAGCACTGGTTTCAAAAAGAGGTTGGATTGTATAGAAGTCTATAAGAAAATTAACCTACTTCTCGTATAATTTTTTTCCTGACAAGTTTATTATCTTAATTGCTGGTTAAGACTTGTTTACAGCCTTTTCCAGTGTGCTTTCAGTTGATTTACATACATTTATTACAACATCTTTGTTGCCTATAAATATATTTGTAGGTGTTTAGTTGTACTTAGATCTACCCTCTTTTGTCACTGATGGTTGAAAAAAGACAAGATGGAGGCAGTATAAATATGGAACTGGAGGCTTCAGAACCAAAGTCCATGAACCAATTGTGACGGCTCGGTGGGGAAGGGATACAGCTAGCCTGGCTCTGCCAACATTTGTCTTCCTGCATCACAGTAAAGCTCATTAATAATTTGCATTAATTGTAAATGAAGACGGTGTAGAATTGTAAACTTTGGACAGATTCAAACAAGCTATATTTCCCTAAATGTTGGAAAGTTATTTTAAAGCTTCAAGTCTCATCCACCTGAACATTTTTAAATGTTGTGCATTTGTCTGTGATTGTGATGTATATATATGGTAAATTGACTGTACTTATATATGTATATACATACACATACATAAGTCCAATTACCATGATGCTTTTTTGTATTTGCTTGTGTGTTGAGTTTGTTGCACATCTTCTGTCTGTACTTATATTTCCTGCTGCACTGTGGTCTCCTTTGCAAAACAAATCTTTATCTCAACTAGATTACTTAATAAAAGGTTATTTTAATAAGGAAACAACCTCCGAATATCATCACCTTTATATTTGATTCTTTCAGTGATTCAAATGTTATTCAAATAAATAATTGAAGTGAAAGAAAAATGGCTGAAAAAAAAAAATCAAATGTCTGGGTATTAATCATCATAATGTTAGGGTTAAGGCAAATATTCTACAGGCACATTTTTTAAACATAATTTGCAGTAATAATCTGCAATCATATCAATGTTATGAATTGAATTGAATTGTGAACTGCATCACTGGCTCCTGAAAGGTGCTTCAAGGTTGAAACCACACAGAATGAACAAGCAGCGACACACACACACACACACACACACACACACACACACACACACACACACACACACACACACACACACACACACACACACACACACACACACACACACACACACACACACACACACACACACACACACACACACACACACACACACACACACACACACACACAGAAAATACCTTGATTCCCCTCATTCCTACGATACCGAGCTCTCCTTTATTCCCCTTCTGCCCCAGCAGCCCGTCTTTTCCTGATAAACCCTAGAAGATAAAACAAACCATTCCTTTCTCCGTCCAGCAAAGAGAGAAAACCATGCACAGAAAATGCAAAATCTGTATTTTGATGGAATTAAAATCACTGACCGATTCACCAGGTACCCCATGTTGGCCTGCTTCTCCCTACAGACACACGACAGGATTACAGTAATTAGAGCAGTCAAATTACTATGTGCACTGATTACTGACTGGCTTTGCTAATAATTATGACACTGATTCAATCAAAATAATCATCCGTGCTCAGCGTTGCTCACCTTCTGTCCACCGGGCCCACGGGCACCCGGGAATCCACTGGATCCTCGGTCTCCTGGCTCTCCCGTGAGACCCTGATGTCAAACACATACACAGAAATATGAAATTGATCACTTGTTATATGAATACACTTGAGTGACATCTGCTCTAATTATTGCAATATCAATTATTGTCTAAATGTAATGTTTTTCTGTTTGCCTTAGTGTGTTGTAATTATTTTTATTTTGTTCTTTTTTAGTGTTTCAAAGGGCAGTACGCACGTTTCTTTGTGTGACATACAGGTATTGATAATCAAAACATCATCACATAGGAATAAACAAGAAGAGAAACAAAGATGAAACGAGACAGAAGAAAGCAAACCAAAAAAATACTTTGTAATATTTAGGTGATTCATATTTCTAAGTTAAAATACTAATTGATGCAAGAGATCAGATCCATGTTAATAATGACAAAATATCAATCGCATCTTATTTAGATTTCAAATGATTTAATGCTTGAAAAAAACAATGTATGTTATGGCAATAAACAATCTTACCTGCTCTCCTAGAGGGCCCTCTTGACCCTTCACCCCCTTTTCTCCCTGTACACCTTTGGGTCCCCTGTCCCCCTATAATGGAACAACAGTTAAATCAACAACAAGCAAAACCAAATGTACACTCTAAGTGGATATTTTCTTTATTCCACATCAGGACCATCACTGACCGTTTCTCCTTTGTTGCCCTTTTCTCCACCGGGTCCTCCCACCAGCACCGTGTCCCCCTGTGAGTGACAGAACAGCTGTAAACATCCAACGCAAAACGATTCATCCTGTCGGCTTTTCCTGAGTGGTGTCACTTACACTATCACAGCTAATCAACATTGTCTGTATTCATATATTCCTCGCTATTGAAAGGGCTCGTTCAAAACAGCAAATATCCACACCAAGTTTTTTTTTTCCTCTTCCATTTCTTTGTTGTCTCAATGTCATCTTGACAAATACAAAAATGTATATAAAGAAAGAGAGTAAAAGAGAGCAACTATTTTATATGACAGTAAAATGAACTCACCTTCTCTCCTTTGTCACCTTGCAGCCCAATGTCTCCCTGAGAAAAAAAAGATAGAGGGCAAAACATTTCATTCAGGTCCGTCAATTTATTCTGCACTAAACATAAGCAGAAAGCTTGGGGGTCCCAGCTAGCATGATGACACATTAATGAGGAAAGGACTGGTAGTATTTACTTTCTCTCCCCGACCACCACGAATCCCTGCGGGACCCTGACAAAACACATAAACACACATTATTTGCATCTGCACACAGAAATACCACCATCCATGTTTCTAACTGCAGGCTTGACAGCAAAACTGAAATCCCAGTGATGTCACGACTCCTCAGGGTGTACAGTTTGATAAAAGGTTCAGCACAGGTTAATCCTTTCTAAAACTATAAGCACTGCAACGCTGTGAGGGAGGACAAGGCCTATTCAAAAACAAGTTTACAATCTAAGATATGGATTTTTGTAAAAACAGCTTGTTTATTATAATGATTTCTGCATGTGTTTTTCCATGTACACCTTCATACAGACTGACTCATGATTAAAGAAGGTTTTTGAAAACACAACAATGAAAGCTCAAGAAGAAAGGCTTTGGATGATGTTCCTGAGTGATGGATACAAATGAACTCTTGGTATTTACCGTTGTCCCTCTCTCCCCATCCAGGCCAGCACGACCCTCCTCTCCCTAAGACATGACAGAAAGGAAAAGGTACAGAGTTTCTTTCATCCAGAGGCAGATTAACATTAGATCACATCTTCAATGTTGTAAACGATGTCTTACTCTCAGCCCTGCATCTCCTCTCTCTCCTCTGGGACCGGGGACACTGGCGCCGACTTCCCCCTGGCAACAGAAATATTTGCTCAATTAAAAACAACTGCTGACATTAAGGCAGGTAGACAGGAATATGGGTGTTTCTCAATGTCGAGTAGGCTTGCTTGGTAGCACATGTCTTCCGAGCGTCTTGCTTCAGAAGCGAGGCAAGAATACTTCCTAGCCTCGGAAAACGAAGAGTGGAACAGGCTAACAGGTGTGCGTCATATGAGAGGCCCCGCCTAATTGGTCCGTGCGCAAAGCATTGTGGGGAATTTAAGACCGCGGAGTCTACACATGTGGAGCCTCAAAATTTCTCCAAACGAAGTACGCCGGGCTCTGTAGAATTCCAAGTATGCTGGACATTGGAACAGTACTTCGGCGGCACTCGATGACGTAGTATGCTTGAAATAGTGGCTCTGGAGCAGCTTTACTCGAGATTGAGAAACACCCTATGTGTCTGCTAGGATAGTCACCTTGTCTCCTTTGCCCCCGTTAGTACCGGAAGAGCCCTAGAAAACAAAGTATTGCATTAATCATTGTTGTCTCTTGTACTTTCTCAGCCTTAACAAAATAAAAAATATTTTCACATGTCCTAACTTAGGAAACCATCTATAAGCATTCATACAACAAAAACCAGAAGTTAAGCAGGGTAAAAAATCACACCTAAATCATTTAATTGAATCTGAGGCTAGCTACTAATTGCAGTGTACTGTCATTAAAAAGGGATTTAAACTCACTGCCTCTCCAGGGGGTCCAGAAGGACCAGGGGGTCCGACAGTTCCTGCACGGCCTCCAAAGCCCTGTAGGCCCTGAAACACAATACCTCAATAGTTGAAAATCAACCACCAGCATTAAAACAGATAGCATGCAGGATAGTGAAGTCAGCCGCTCCACTGACCCTCTCCCCTGGTGGTCCTGGAGGTCCTAGTTGTCCAATTTCTCCCCTCAGGCCAGGCGGCCCAGTATTCCCTGCCTTCCCCTGCAGCCCCGGAGGACCAGCTGGACCTGGAAGGCCTGGATCTCCCTGAGTGAAGCCAGAGTTAGATTTTGACATGTGGCACATCTTATTAATCATCATTTATACTGTAGCGCACCTCATGCTGTTACTCACCTTCAAACCTTGAGGCCCGTCCCTTCCAGGAGGCCCTGCCTGCCCTATGCCCTTCTCTCCCTGCAACAAACATTTTGTCATAACTGGTGCATGGATTGGGTTTGATTTCAGGCTTATTATTAAAACACAACAGATCCTTACCTTATCTCCTTTTGACCCAGAAGATCCTTGTGCCCCCTGCATCAAAAACAGAGATATAGGGGTTTGGAAACTGGAATAACTGATTGAAACCCATACCAATAAAACATGAAATGGAAACATGTCAACTATTGTTATATAAAACACGCATGAATAATAATATCTTACAGTTGCAGTTTGTTTAAGGTATTACACATTTCTGTATGCCCACCAAATACTGGTTCGCCTTTATTATTATATCACTGTAGACACATTTCATCAGTATTGGTGTGTACTGTCAGAAGTTTAGTTACACATCAAAAACCTTGTTAGCCTCAAGGACAACAAATAATCAAAACCTCAAGCATCAGAGGAGATTGGTCTCAATTACAGTGGACACTTTTAGATAAGAGGTCTAGAGACTTCAATTACACTGCTGATAAATGTTTGATTAGGGATGAATGAAATATTTGACAGACTTTCAAGGAAGGGACTTTGACAAAGCATCCTAATACATTATAAAACCAATAACTGTTTAGTGGTAATAACAGTTTATCTGAATAGCTCTTCAGCAGAGATTCAGACATAATCGACAGGCTATCTTTTTATACACAATGTCATTTGAGAATATTTTAACAATATTTTTTGTATTCGTTGACATCTTTGTCCCCATCCTGATAGAACTGTACCCCAAATGACACCCCTAATAGTAGTGTTATCTCGGTATGAAACTTCGTGGATAGATGATCGCCTTAGACCTTTGGGGTCAGAAGTCTATTTACACAACCCAAATCCACAAAATGCAGAAAGCAGTGGCAGTAGGAGCGGATTACTTACATCTTCTCCAGGCTCTCCTGCTTCACCATCCACTCCCTAGAATAACGAAAGGTAACACAACGTGAACTTTTAGCTTAGTTAACTTTATGAATATGTGTTTCCCCGCTACATGACGGTACTCACTCTCTCTCCTTTGTTGCCACCAGCACCTTTGTCTCCCCTGTTACCCTGAAACAAAGCAGTTATGATACCATATTAATGAAAAAGCACTTGACATTTCCACGCTGGTGTCTGGTGGCACTCGCTGAGAGGGAACCTTCAGTGCTAATGCTTTCGATCACCCTCACCTGTTCTCCCAATAGACCTCTCTCTCCAGCTGTTCCTGGCAGTGTTTGACCACTAAGACCCTGCATCAATCATAACCAGGAAAGAGATGTCAGCTTCACTGAGCCACTCTGTTCTGCTTCCTCTATTTCATAAATTGTTTTAGTCTTTCATCTCTGCACTGGTCTGCATTTACTGGGTATGTTCAGTTCAATGAGAAAAAATGGTTAATGCTAATAACAGGGACTTACCCTCTCTCCCTTCAGTCCAGGGGGTCCAGTCACAGCCTGAGTGCAGAAGAATTGAGAAAATAATAGTAATTACCTGTGCAGAATTGTAAGGGTTCTTGATGGAAATGTACACTTAAAGGTCATGGTATTCAAGTAGTATAATAATAACGTAATTTTGAAATCGTCGTTGACAATTTAAGGAACAATTTGTGGTAGTTATTGCTCACAATTTACTTTGTGAAGTGCCGTTTTTCTTGTTTTGGGTGTCTCACATTTTTAATTCTGTGTTAACAAAATGACAAATTCCAGAAAGGTTTCGGGGCAAAAAGGAAGCTCTACTGCTTTCACTCTGGAGGACTGAAACAAAACAAAAAGCTGCTGGGCTGGAAAATGCAATGTTACTTCATCTAAATGAGTTTGGGTGTGTGTGTACGTGTGTGTTTAAACAAATGATGGAGTGTTTGAGCAGATGGGCAAGTGTTGCCACGTTATTCATCAAACGAGTGAACTCACTGACAGAGTCACTGCGGCTCTGTCCAAGGTGCTGAACCTGAGGCAGTCAGCAGTGAGGGAGCTGTTCAAAACACTCATCACGATTCATGTGAACATAACAAACAGCGGGAATGGCGGCGAATACCAAGAACCTGACGAGCAAGCTCCTTTTTTGTATCTTTTTCTCCAGACACTTTTACTAGCAAAGAAACTCCTGTGAGGAGTTTAACCTTCTGTTTGGTTGTTAAGACGGAGACCATATATGCTGTAATCGCAACATCCCTGCTTCCACTCCAGCTGGGCACCTTACATGTCATACCCTTCTCTCTGATAAAGGTTACAATATGATATTAACTCAAGGTAGAGACAGAGTGTAGAAGCTTTTAAAGCCACACAAGAGGCTACTCTAGCATAGCATGTGAGTTTGAGTTGGATACCTGCTACCATACATTAAGTTAAGCACCATATAAAAGGCATCATGTGTAGGAAAATCGAAAGGTTATACAAGCAAACATTGTTAGAAAAGGCGTTAAACAATACATAAACCAAATAAACCTTTTCCTAATGACAGATGTGATGCTCAACAGCAACACCAAATAGGAGTACAGTCCACACTCATAAGTTAGAGATTGGTGTTGCTAACGGCAATAATATTAATTTGTGAACACAAAGGTGTTTTGAGCCATGTTTCATAAGAGACAAACAGCAGCGATGATGTTATGTGATGAAGTGATGAGCCCTCCAGAGAAAAAGTTGTGAATGTATGTGACCTTCTCTGTCATTTTCTGTCTCATTGAGCTCAATGTGGCTTAATTGTGATCCTCATCAGCAGTATTGGCAAAGACATTGTCCTGCCGAGCCAATCCCTATTAGATGTCTGCAGTCATTGAAATGAAGACAACTGGCAGGCAATTATATGTTGGTGTCAGTGGTAAGGTGGTTTCCATTTGAAGGCTGAGAATGCTGCATGATAATACGTTGAGTATTACAAAATGTATCTGTCAAGAGGGCTCTCTTTTTTTAATATGCAAACTGAATTCTGACCCACCAGGCATGTTGCTAACATCTCACTTACAAGATATATATATACTTTTACACATAAAATCCAGACCAGCTTTTTGCCCCTTCAGACTGACAGTCTGGTTCAGAACGCTCAAGCCAATTACCCATGAATCTATGCAAGGATTTAGCTGAAATACACATTCACGGTTGGCTCCTCTGTTATTTTTAGAGTGGGAGGCAAGACAGGCCTCCACAGGGTTTTTCCCCATTTAGCTACCATTCTGCGAAAACACTCCAGGGCTGTGCTGCACCAGATAATACAGACCTGTGAGGGTAATGTGAACACAAGAAAGAGTGACAATATATGTTCCTGATAGGTGAGAACTAATTTTACTGGGTGAGCAAGTGCCAGAGAATTTGCTTTTTGAATGTCAATCAATAACAGTCGCATAACAGAGAAATACCACTGAGACAGCTCGCCCGGGAAAATGGAGCTCTTGTATTACTGCGTAATCCCTGCTCAAAATAGCCATACAATGGGGGAATTATTTTGCATGCTGGATATTTAATATTACTACTAGGTAGCTTACTGACAGAAATAATGTCCTTTGACTTTTAACTTGTAAAAATGTTGTCCCTATACTGTTAAGCAAAATCATTGAGAGAAGTTAATGGAGATAAAAAATTAACGAAAATGCTTTCATACAGATCTACAGACCTCTCATACAGAGGCAGCTGTATTACCACAGAGAACTGGACATACTTTAACGAAGACACACACAATTAATTACCCACACCAACATATTCCCCAGGTAAAAGGTGTACTAGACCCCATCCTTTGCATAGAAGCGACATGAGAAACTAAAAGACTGTCTTATCTTGGGATAGAAATAAAGCCATTACTGAACGATCATTTAAAGATCCCTAAATTAGGATGGCATAAACACTTCCCATAAATCAAACTAAATGTTTTTTAGTCTGTATGGAAATGACAACACAGATGGGGAACAACATGAACACCATAATATAATTGTCAAAAGGCTATTAAAACTGCTCTTTACATTTCCAAGAACATATATAATACCTGACATTTCCTTTCCTCCATTGACTAGTGGCTCCAACTACTCATAGCTAAGATGAACCTCCATCTTTTCCCCCATAAAAGCAAACTACTGTTGCTAGACAATGAAAAGTGAGAGCTGTTGAAATTCAAATCAAATATACAGGCAAGGTAGCTATAGCTAGGATTCAGTTATTAAAAAGTTATTACAAAAATGAATCACTTAATAATATTATCATTACCTACTGTATGGATAGGGGATAAGAGAAAGCAATGAATGTAGCAATTACTTTAAAAAAAGGAAGATAGCAAACAGCACACAGCTATCTCTTGGAAATGTAACTTAAGATAGGACAAGAAGTTTGATACAGTATGTTTCTGTAATGAGTGGCCATATCTGCAACTTTCACAAAGAACTCCATCACAGAACAATATTAATATCATTGATGTTGCTATGTACAACAACACTTTTTGATTTCAACACCCAAAATGTATGCCCATTGTATTGTTGTTCCTGAATTTAACTACAGGCTACTGACAGATCCCCTCTCCAACACAAAATGTCTCTATTTTATGATGTTTTCAGTTTGTGAGCTGTTTAGAGCGCTAGTCATGTTCCTCTCCCTACAGGCTCAAGGCTCATACTGCTGCAATCTGCACTCTAAACACGAATTCAGGCGACCTTTCACCTCCACTTAATTAAATGCATGGTTGCAAGATAAAAATGTGAGTTAATTGATTTAGATAAACATTTTAAGTTGCAAACATTAATTTATAAGTTGTGTTGACGTAATAATGTTGGTAATTACATCAACTTAATATGGGGTGCACGGAGAAAAAAAAGAAAAAGTTTTAACAACATGTTTATTTATTGACTTTTCATTCCTGTATAATCATTTTGCGCAAAGATGGCGCTGTTTGTCAGAGCACTTCATCCTTCTGGGATTTCATGAAGAACAGCTCCAACGCCTGTGTGTATGGGAATGCCTCTGGTGCTGGTCCATTAACTGCCAGAGTTTCCCACAGATCTGAAATATACTTGGGGGGGTGGTGGTAGCGGGGGGGGGGGGGGGGGGGGGGGGGGGGGGGGTTGAGGTGACGTGCAACAACATTAACATTAACCTTTCTGTTGGTCGCTTGTTAGCAGACCCTTCACGCGATGGCAGAGCGAACAGGTACAGGCAGGGTCCATAATGATAGCCCTATAGTTTAAATCTACTACCCACACATGAACATATGGAAATGGGTTACTATTTAAAAAAATTAATGTATTTATAAATGTATTTAGGAGCCTATCCATGTGATTTTATTTTTTATTTTGGAGTTAAATGCATCAATCTGGTGCATTTTGAGGGGAAAATAAAGAGACTAGATCTATGGAAACACCTATATTAAACAGAACTGTATACATTTCAATAATTATAAAATCATGGCCATAACCAATAACATACCATTTCCAATATGAAAAAAACACTGAAACTTGTTTATTAATTTATTTTTGGTTCATTTATAGTTGTGAGTGTGTCTGTGCTCCTGAACCAGCCTCTCCTGTCTCCCTCCTCTCCCTCCTCTCCATCCTCTCCCACTGCTCCTCTTTGAGGCAGCAGCAAAGACTAGTTTTCTCTCAACAAGTTTTAAAAGTATATCTTACCTTTTTTCACCTAGTTAACTTTTTATTTATTTATTCATGCATATTTTACAAATCACATTACATTTCATTTAGCTGACGCTTTTATCCAAAGCGACTTATCATGACCGATTACAGGGACATTCTCCCTGGAGTAACTAAGGGCTAAGTGCCTTACTCAAGGGCACACTAGTGGTGGTGTTCCTGGCGGGATTTGAACTCACAGCCTTCCGATCTTCAGCCCACCTCACTATCCATTAGACCAATCACTACCCTCTCAAATGGAAATATGTGTTTACATAAATGGTGACCACACCGTTTGAGACCCACTGAGAACTTAGACTAAGTTAACTATCTAAACACTCAGAGAGTCCTTTACCTCACCTGAGCTGAGGTTATCCCGAGCTTGAATGACACACAGAGACCAATCAAGGGCTTTGATTTATGGTCTGTATGACAGTGGCCATGTCGGCAGGCCACATCATGTGGACAGCTAGTCACCCTGTGTGAGGCAGGCCACTTAACAGGCCAGAAGGAGGCGAGATCAGAGCAAGGGAGCGAGGGATCATTGTCCACAAGTTAATCGATCGCAGATGGCGTCGTGGTCACGGACGAATAAAAAAAAATAAAAAAATCTAAATGGGTCGCGAAATATACTTGGGCGGCCGTTAATATACCTGGGCGGCCCGCCCAAGTATAGTCTATGTGTGGGAAACCCTATATTATTTAATGTGCTTCAAAAGGACATGAATATCGCCATCATCAGTGACCGGTCCACCCCAGGATCTGACCATACGATGGCAACCATCGTGGTCGAGGGAAACAAATGAATGAGCAAGCATTCTGCGTTAAATGTGTTCATACTGTTTGAAATAATGACTGTCGGCAGTGCAAACATCTTTGTTACATCTTTTGTAAAATTGATGTGTGTGATCTGCAGATTGGTGGCCATTGAGAGTTTGTTACTTTAGTTTTACAAAAACTTTACAGATTTTACATATTTGGCACTGGTTTTAAATATGCAAAGGCCTCTAACTTCGATGTGATGGCAGCATGTATTTGCTGTGTCCCCATGTCCCATGGTAATATGGCTAATGTGTTTATTTATTATTTGTGGGGCAATTTAAATTTGTGTTATTTATCTTTTTTTTCAAGATTTAAATGAAGCTCAGCGCAAGTTCTTTCAGGAAGACTGGGTGAATATACATTCACTCCGCAGCTGCATATAATCAGCTCATCACAGGCGTTCTCTTTAACCTATTACATTTCACCTCATTCTCCAGCAGCCAATCAACGTGCTGCAGCCAAACTATAAAATGGTTCTCCTCTCTCCTGCAGTCAGCTGTGATTTCAGGTGTTCATGCACCTTATCATACTGTATGGCATGTGCCAATAAATGTTCAAACAAAATGAAGTCTCTCCTGATTGAAACATCATGTGTTGAAATAAACAACTGCAGTTCAAAATAAAAAGTGAATTGCCTAATATTTTTGTTGTGGAATCAATTAATTTATTTCTTTAAACGCAAAAACATGAAAAAGCTAAGAAAAAGGACTATTGAATATAATATATTTGGAGCAACTTAATTTATAAATGGTTGTCAACTTAAAAACGTGTGTTCACAATGATGGTAATTAAGTACATACAACTTAAAATTCCTTTTAAATCATGTGGTAAAACAAGTTGGAACAACTTAATTTTTGGAGTAATCAACTTAAAAACTTGTATCTCGAATGAGGGTAATTAAGTACATACAACTTAAAATTCCTTTTAAATCATGCGGTAAAACAAGTCGGAACAACTTAATCTTTTGAGTAATCAACTTCAAAACTTGTGTTTATGCTACCAATTATTAAGTAAGTGGTAATTTAAAAAAAACACCTCTGATTGTAGAGGAAAAGCCTTCTCCCCTAACTCAAATAACTTTGTTGCTTTAAGACAATTTCATTAGAAGTTGTCTTAACTCAATAAACATCGATGCAAACTGTTGCGTTGATTTTCTTTGTTGAGCCAAGGCATTTGTTTTTAGAGTGTGCTCAGACAATACAGAGCGTTACAATATCACACAGCTAGCAGCCACATAAAACCGACTCCAGGGGCCTATACTACGAAGCTGGTTCAACCTAACCTGGATATGTTTGAGTTGGCCGGTTGGCCTAATCCAAAACATACGCGCTCTCGCTAAACGGTACTACGACACAGGTTATCAAGTGGATCGCTCAAGCCAGCCGTGTCCGATCTAGTTAGGTGCGCGTTCACATGAAAGGGGTGGTATTTGGAGCATTCAACCAATCACAAACATGGACAAGCGCACTGACAGCGCAGGGTCATACTTCCTGAATGAAAAGTGAACTTTAATACTAGTCAAAAATGAAGAAGTTAAACTTTAAACATCCATGACTTAAACACTTTATCCAGGATAAAAGCCACATAGTCTTGAATACAGCTGGCAAAAGAAAAAGTGTTTGAATGCGTACATTAACAGGTTTATGATATCACTGCCCCGTCTAAAACATGATTTGACTTTAATTATATTTGTCTCGAATGTTTCGTCAACTTAATGTGTTGCTTAAAATAATACTTCTGCATACAGTATGTGACACTGTGAGTGTTGCACGGCCAGATACGGCTCAGCTGACTCAGATAAGAAAATATATGATACATTATGAAGTGATATGCCGCGGACTGTAGGCTAGGCTACTTAATGTTACTCTGATCCGGTTACTTATGTTGTGGCAGATATTTAAGTAAGCTTTCTTAACGCTAATGTTATAATATTCAGATTGCTCTGAAGATGGGAGGGGATATTCTATTAATGTTCACGTTCACACAGTCGGTGATTTTTGCCGGCCGTCTTTCCTGCAATGGCAGCTTTTCTGTATTTCCTTTCTCCTGTAATATGACTTGATCGCTTTAAACTCCGCACACTGAGCTCTGATTGGTCAGCAGGCAGTGCTTTTACTGAGTTGAGCTCTTAGCCTGCAACCTAACCTGGTCCCGACCAGGTTAGCCGCTAAGCATAAGTTACCATGGAGATCTAGCCTGCTAAAAAGAGAACCAGCTTCGTAGGACCGGAAAGCCGGAGTTTTCCCTGAATTTAGCCGGCTAAGCGAAAATCCTGCTTCGTAGTATACCCCCCTGTACATAAAGAAGAGTAAAGATTACAGGGATACAGGCTGCCCCAGTTGGACAAACAGCAGCAGCAGCACGACCTCTGACTCAGAATAGGCCTCAGATGAAAAGTCTTGCAGTAAGCCACTGTTAGCTTTACAGAGATGTTTTTTTTCTTCACATCCAATAAAAGCAACATCAAATACAATTTCCTTGACTGTCTGCTGAGCCAGAGGCTGATGGGTAGAAACAGCATGTTCTCACCTTCCCTGGAGGACCGCTGTCTCCCTGCTCCCCCTTTAAGCCGCCCAAGCCTGGAGGTCCAGCAATGCCCTGAGAAGCAAATTACACAATGATGTCACGAGGAGACCTGATGAAAACCGCTCAGTGCACACTAAACACTGTCAAACACAGTAGATGACATGAACACAAACACTGACACACACACACACCTGCTTCCCAGGTAATCCATGTGTTCCTTCTTTCCCAGGCACCCCATCTCTTCCAGGGACTCCTGGTTTACCAGCTTCACCCTAAAAAAAAAAAACACAAACGTCAGTATGTTTGATTGTAATGTATGTCTAATTTATCTAGAACACCACAAATGATCAATTAATATCAATACTATTGTTTTTTCATATTAGTGAGGTATGATAACACATGTTCAAAACAAGCAGGAAACCAAGAAAATGGTCGTAGAATGGCAGCCAGCTCAGGTTCGCATACTCACCACCTGCCCTGACAGTCCTGGGGCGCCCTGAGGACCCTGCAGAGAGAAATAAATACAATAGTAAGAAGGAACATAATAAGATACACGTAATCAGATGTTTGATGAATTTCATGAGAAACATGAGGGCAGTTTTTCCCTGAAGATAAGAGGTGGCGACACTCACCACAGTTCCGGGGGGGCCTGCTGGTCCTGGCAGCCCTGTGCTCCCCTGGGCCCCCGGAGGACCCTGCAGAGAGCAACGCAATAAGTCACACACTGCACATCTAAAGCTTCACCATCTCAACTGGAATTTGATTAGGGCAAATCAACCTAAATCTCAAAGATTTTAGTAAGACAAGTAGAGAAGTGAAGTTATTTTACCTTGACACCAACGCCTGGCTCTCCTTGATTGCCCTGTGAAAGAAACAAACTTGTTATGACTTTGAAAGTAACAAACAAAAACATTATAAGAATTGTTAATTAAATTAAAAGAAGCATAGATGTCGTCACACCTAGCACAGCAAGATATAGCTAACTCACCTTCACACCTGATGGACCTGGAAGGCCATTGGGACCCATGGGGCCCTGATCAAAACACAGACCACAAATATTTAAACTGCTGCTGTTACGTGTAGGGCAGAGACTAAGGATTATGTTCACTGTGTATCAATCGCTTGGTCTATGAAATATAAAAATAAAACGAAATATTGATCCCAGTTGGTCAAAGTTCAAGGTGAGGTCTTGTTTTGGCAGTCCAAAAGCCCAAATATATTAAGTTGAATTAGATTTTTTTTAAAAGCAGGAAATCTCTATATTTGAGAGGCTAAGAAAATAACTTGTTATCAACATAGTTAGCAATAGCAATTATTTTTCTTAAGCAACTAATCGATTATTCGACTAACATCATGTATTTGTACCCATGCTGTTGTATGTGCAATACTTACAGTTGGCCCCCTCATGCCAGGCTCTCCTGGGTTTCCCTAAAAGCAAATACAGTACAAGTCACATGCAGTAGATTGCATCCTTCAATTACTCACAAACCTGCACACATGCCACATTTTAAAGGAATATTTTGACATCTTGGAAAACCTTGTATGCTTTCCTGAAGAGAGCCAGACGAGAAGATTGATATCACTCGTGTTAAATACATATGGCTTCCTGGAGTCTGCCCTGATTTCTTGGTAACCCCACTGTCATGACGACACTCCAGGTAGCCACTGCACCCAGTTGGTAAAAAAAGTCCTATATGACAACATGTTGATAAGCAATTTGTAAAAGGAACATGTACGACAGGACCCTCCCATCTAACTCTATGAAAGAAAGAGAATAACTGTATTTCCCAAAATGTCAAACTATTACTCATTGCAACATATTTATGCATAAATATGTTTCTAAAGATGTAGCACACAAGTTGTATTCTTCTTGCTCAATATTAAACAACATGTAGTTTACATAAGTAATATAAAGACACTGATTCTCACAAGCATCTCTCTAGGAGACACAAATAAACAAACACATAAACATCTGACTGACTCATAACAGGTACGACAACACAAACACAGAGGATCAACAATGTCAACAGATAGACACTCATATGGTAAGCTCTGAAAAATCAGTGCCGTGCGAGAGATAAGCACAACAGACAGCAGCAGGAACAGCTGTATGCACGATAAGCAGACTCAAGCGAATTGAAAACATAGTAATTCTACGAGCAAAATCCTAATTTCGTATTAATCTCTACTGCTGTACACTGGATCGTGGTGAGAGCGTCAGCTCAGGGCGTCAGCCGACTTCTTTTCATCTTTTCCTACAAATATGTGGTGTTTCACAAGTTTAAAATGTGTGAGATTGGCTCAGATTCTTTTGGGACAGGTGGTCTTGATTAATATGTAATGAGAAACTGATTAAGGTCTGAATCTTATCCCAGACTGCAGCTCCCAAAAGTATATTTCCAATACAAATAGTTTAAAAAAGGGTCAAATTGGCCTTGAAGGTACATGACAATGTGTGCATCCTGATGATTTGTCTCCTGTTGTTTAATGCAAAAGCATCTACTTCCTGTCTAAGCTAAAGCACATACTGTAGGTATCTCTAAAGCCTTGGTGCATTCCCCACACAGATAAACATTTTCCCAGCTCTCCCTCCCCAGAGCTCAAGCATGACAGCCAGCAGCAGGAAACCTACCGGTCTGCCTAGAACTCCTGGGAACCCAGGCATGCCCTGGAGAGGATGGAAGATAGAGGAAGATGGGTGACAGGAGGGTGGGGGGACAGGTGGGATGGAAGAGGGGAGACAAACAACACAAAAAAGGAAATGGAGAATGGAGAGAGATAAGAAACATATGAGGAGAGAGAGTAGGGAAGAGGGAGGTGTTAGCTGCCCAGCTGCAAAAGGTTACTCTCTAAGATCTATGAAGACTCGGCCCAAGAGGGGAAAAGAGCTCCATAAGCCAACCCAGGGGTTTGCTGTGAAGACCAAGCCTAAGAGGAGGTCTCTTTGCTGGGTACTGGTTACTCACTGGTAGACCTTGAGGCCCAGTAGGCCTTGTTGGGCCCTGCTCCGACATGGAGGGAAGGAAAACAAAGAGTGTGAGGAAGTGCTTAAAACCTTGCCTCTCCTTTATTTTCATTTATTCCTGCACCCGAGCAGACATTATGTTATAGAGAACACCATTTGTGTATGGGATTTGAATGGTCACTGTAAATAAAATGGTAAGGAGAATGATAACAACTTAGCGTGTCCTCGGATGTTAACTGGAACCCTGCTGGTTTAATTTCTTACAAAGCTGAGTGCATTAGTTCATTCATATATTTATGTATAGCAATACTATAAACGACATAAAATACATAATAAGCAGGAATATAATTAGTATATTATTCACTATATATAACTAACTATGTATTGTTATTCTCATAAGAAAGAAACACACTTATCTAAACTGCCGAAATAAATATGAATACATAGTACACATATTTCTTAACCATCAAAGCCAATAATATAACATGAATAATAATAATAATAATAATAATAAAAAGGAAAAGGCACAATATTGTCAACTTCATCTTCAAAATTATGAATTAGTTCACATCAAGAGCTTCACACTTACCGGTTTCCCATCCTGACCAGGTTTTCCTGGTTCTCCTGGTGTTCCCTGAAATAGCAAAACACAGATTGCTTCTTATTAATATATGGAATATTTTGTTATCATAGCATTAGTAGCAACAGTTAAATCAAAATAGGATCTTGATTATTAGAATATTCCAATCTAGATTCCATTCTATCAGTAGAGCCATCTACCTGTGAGCCGTCACGTCCGTTATCTCCAGACTGTCCTCTGTCTCCTTTATCTCCACGAGATCCCACAAAGCCCTTTAAGACACAACATATATGTAGCTCATTAGCATATAGAAAACAATCAACGGTGCAAGACGTGAGATTTTCCATTATCTGTTAGTGTGTTTATATGAATCATATGAAAATCGTACTCGTTCTCCTTGAGGTCCTGGCAGTCCTGCAGCACCAGGTTCTCCCTTGTGTCCTACAACCCCTGGAGGGCCTCTGGCCCCGGGAGGTCCTACCAGTACTGACTCAGAAGATGCTCCCTAAAGTACACACACCAACAAACAAATGTGTATCTAACATTGATATAACGTGCAATCTCCATAGTGATCGACTGCATCGATAAAAAGGATGAGAAGAAGTTTACCTTTTGACCTGCTGGGCCGGCTAATCCTGTGAGCCCAATTTTACCCTGAGAAACAGAACAAATTCTGATTTCAGTGCTGACTTGCTTACATATTGTATATAAAGAAACATTAATTTGTTCTTACAATGTTGATGTAGAGTTCCACTAAAACAATGTCAAACACTTACAGATTCTCCTTTGTCCCCTTTCTCTGCTCTGTCCCCCTGAAATACAAATATCATGTCAGCAGGAGGATGTGGTAATGAAAATATCTTCTATTTTTTAACCCACCTGTCCTGAACTCACCTTATCTCCAGGTCTTCCAGCCTCCCCCAGTTCTCCAGCCCGCCCAGGAACCCCCGGTATCCCTGGTTTGCCCGACTCTCCAGCGGGTCCTGAGGGTCCCTGTGGACCTCGCTCTCCGATGGCTCTCCCTGGAGGCCCAGGATTTCCCACGATTCCTCGCTCCCCTTGATCCCCTTTTGATCCTCTCTCTCCTTGGAAACCACGGGAACCCTGATGCACAGCAGGAAATGGAAAAAGGTAAACAAATCTACATTTTAAACACAGTTAACACAGGTGTGCCAGAACATGTTATTAGACATCAGGACAGTGTGCACCATCTGGACACGCAGTGATCTTACTGAGAGTCTTCATCAAGTTTTTGTGTTAAAAAAAGACCTTAGTCATACTTGTGGGGGAAACTTCTGTGTAGCAATGCAGTGGGAGTCACCGACTCATGAAGGAGACACGGGATGAGCAGGAGCTTTGATGTCAAACACTGATGGTTTATTTGGAGTTTCGGCCGGAGAGTTGACAAGACAGGTGCTGTGTCACGAGTTGACACAGCGGTTGCCAAACCAATTCTGAAGAACTCTTTCTGTAGCTCGAGGTTTTATCTAGTTCGGAGTGTAATAATCAATATTCTTCATCAGTGAGACTAAACAAATATGGACCCTGAATCTAACTAGAGCTCTCGTCCATAGAAAAGAATGCGCGCCAGGGAACCTTCGTCCCTGAACAGTAAACTTCCTCATGGCGGCTTGTGCTCTGTCATAGACTGGCAACAACAATGCACCCAAGCTGCCCCTCCTTAAGAGAGATAGCAGCAATACCCAAGGCCGTAGACCTATGCCATGGGAAAGGAGACAGTGAGAGGAGAAAATTATGAACTGTGTCAAAGGTTGAATACCTAAGCAAATTATTCCCTAACAATACTCACATCTGCACCAGAGGGTCCTCTCAGTCCAGGTTCACCACCGTCACCTTTGTCACCCTTAGCTGCCTTCTGCACTGTAGGAGCGAGCGGTGTGTCCTTTCTGTCCACAACCACCTTTAGATCAGACACCTGTGGCGAGGGGAGAAAGAGAAATGGTTGAGGAGAGCCTCGTAACTTTCAGCCACATGTGAGTGTCTGGGAAATGCTTGAGACCTCATTATAAGTCATTCAGATTTATAATAATAACTTGGATTCCAAAATAAGCAGGGTCTAGTGATAATTTTGAAAATGAAAAAGCACAAACTCTGGTTTTGCTGTGAGGGATTGAGACATGTTTTTTTAACTGCAGGAATACTTAATAAGGTAAGCAAACTTCAGAGTGACATTCAATCTAAGAAGTGACAATGCAGTCATAAACCTTGGTCTACATGTCATTATCACAACAAGCCCAACATATTGCTGTGGCTTTTACTACTTAAAGGTCCCATGCCATGCTTTTCCGTTTATTACCCGTCCCCTTGTGTGTTATGTAAACGGTCTGCAAAGTCACAAACCCGAAAGTACACCGTGTAGCGAGTAAAACTCTAACACAGAAAAGACCTGTCTATGCTTCCCCAGAATGCCTCGTTGGAGATTTTTCCTTTTCCATTTTTAATCTCCGCAGAGCTTCGCACGCACACGCAGACACACACACACACACACACACACACACCACACACACACACACACACACACACACACACACACACACACACTGGCTGTGAGTGCTCAGGCTGAGTTCCGCTGTGTCTCGCTGTCTCGCAGACCCCACGCAGCAACCAGGAAACGACACCAGTAATCCAGCTCACACTGTCCGCTCCTCGAGCCTCAAAGGGCGGAGCAGCGAGCCCCGCAACGTCCCGCCAACACGGCACCCAGACCCCACGCAGCATTCTCATCTGTTTGTCATTACTGGTGTCATTTTCTGGTTGCTAACAAACGCCATTGTAAAACATAATCACTGATGTTCCGCTGTAACGGTGGTGGACTCATCAGAACAGAGTGGGCGAGCTGACCAATCAGAGCACAGTGGGCTCATAGGGAGGGGGGGGCAGGAGCTCCAACAAGCCGTTTAGGACAGAGAGTGAATACACATACTATACAGAGAGATGCTGTATGAGAAACCAATGTGATTTTGGAACATTGAACAATGTAAATCTATTCTAGTAGACCTCAACAATGGAATTATGATCAGTAGAAATGGCCATATTATGGGACCTTTAAAGCGTTTTTTCGCTGTTGTTTTTTAATATAATGCCAATCCTATATTCGAGCAAAGCAACTCTGACATTTTTATTTTTAAACTAATTGACAAGTAATACTGTAAATACATCCGGACGTTGTAAATGCCACAATGACACATGCAAGAACAAATGAACAAATAATAAGTCCTTGCTAAAGTTTTAGGACAACATAATTAGCACGAAGAAGCTAAAAATATGAATCCGTATATCCATTAAAATGTGTCTTACTGTCTTAAAGAAATCTACAGCTTGGCAATGTATTTTCAAATTAACTCCACAACACAAATGCATTTTTACATTTGAAATATGACCACTACACACATCTGAATATTAACCAAGAGCATTGAAAAAGCATTAAGAGCAGGTAAAAATGGTTGGGGGAAGTAGTTGTATACAGCTGCATACAAATAATGAAATAATTCTGATGAAGGTAAGGTAGTGATAAAAAAGAGTAACAGTCAAAATGATCCATCAAAAACAAATGTTGTGCTTTGGAGTCAGTGTGAAGCCATTACTCTTCATCAACACTACAGACATTTCCATCTCAAAAGGAATCATCAAGCAACAACCTCAAATGTAAAAATGTATCTATGGAATTAATATGTAGCTCCTTAACGTATGTAATACTGACTATAAAAGGTTTTGTTCCTCTGCTTTAGAGGCTTGACAAACAAAAATATTAGAGAATAATTTTATTTCAAATCCTAATTGAGTGACAGTCTATATACCTGAATCCCAAGGCTGGACAGAGCCCTCTGTACATCCTGTCAAGAGAAATACACAAAATCAGTCATCAGAGAGGACAAATATCTAAAATAAATGATTCCAAAAGTCCCAGTCATGGCAGGTGATGTGCTGGTGTCCTACCACTGTTGTCCCTGGTTTACCCGGTGCCCCGTCCTCTCCTGGGTCGCCCTGCCAATAAAAAAACATCAAGGTGTCAACATAAAACGCATAAAACATCACTCATGTCATACTTCCAATGCAGTAGGGATGGACGTTTAACTTACAGCATCACCTTTGAGGCCAGATGGACCTCTATCCCCCTGGAACAAAAAAAGTTAAATGGTAAGAAAAAAACATGTCTAAGTGGTTTTTAATCTAAAAGCAACCAATACAGAGAAGTAGGACTTACTCTGCCTCCCACAGCTCCGGGGATCCCAGGTATGCCCTGAAGGATAGAGCAAGGACAATGATAAGAACATCAAGAGATAAGACTGCGGGAGGGCTGCGGAAGCAAACTGGGACTGATGTATATAAAAACACACATCTCTGCAGCTACATGTGGGCAATCGATGCTGCTGGGGACAACATGACCACATGGAGCTAGATATCAGCAGGAGTAGAGATTCATAAAGTAGGGGCCGCCAGGCGGCCTCCGCCAATTGGAGGTTAGATGAAGAAAATATACAAAAACATAACAAAATAAAAGTGTTATTATAATGTGTATTATTATTAAATATAATTTAAAATAGCATAACATCAAAATTGTATTTGCCGTGCCTATTTTTTGTCAGTGTTGACCTGTAACAGTCTGCTCCTGAACTGTAGCTAGCTAACATTAGCTTGTTAAAAGGACAAGCAATGCTTCCTGAAAATAGATGTATTACAATGATTAAAGGTTTGAAACACAATTATTATTATTATTATTATTATTATTAATATTATTGGATAGATAGAAGTAAGAAAACAAATCAAAATGTCAATGGCTTTTTAAAAACTGTTGCAAAAAGGGCCATTAGCTAATGCTATTTGGGGGGTATTGGCATGGAAACGTTTTGGAAACCCTCAGATAGACGTTCCTAGCTCCTGCTTCTGTAAAGATTACTAATTGCAAAAAAAACAACAAATTCATTTGAAGGCATAATTAGAAGCTGAGAATTTGTTTCTGTGTATAATCATTTTATCTTCTGCTAATACAAATCAGCCCTGGAAAGACCGTATCATTTTTCACACACTCGCGCATTAGGAAAAACAGCAAATGTAATATGCAATTAAATAATATAATTAACAACCATGTTAGAATGCTACAAAGTCATGTATACTCACAGGGGTTCCTGGGGGCCCCTGTGGGCCTGGGATCGGTGAGGCTGCAACTCCTTTGACATACACCACCTGACAGACAGTGACAGTAGTTTAGTAAAGATAATACACTAACACTCCAAATCATAATGTATTTTAAATGTGCCTCAGACAGTAGCACCTGTCCGGGAGGACCAATGCCGCCAGGTACGCCAGGAGCCCCCGAAGGGCCAGAGGGTCCAGACGCCCCAGCAAGGCCCCGGTCTCCTTTTGTTCCGTCCCGGCCCTGGAAAACACACGTGATTACACAACTGAGACTCTTTCTATGCAGGCTTACTTCCTCCTGTCCTATCGTAAAAGGCTGAACTATAAAATCAAAGCAGGTGGACGCTGCCACCCCTCCACTGATGTTCTAGAGATAATTAATGTGGATTTGCACATGAAAACAGAACTCTGACATTTGGCGCCTCTCTGGATTCCTCTCAGAAGTGGCTCCCTCTCAAAGGCTCGGCTTGATCATTAGAAGCTAGTGAAGTTATATAGCGGCTATTGATTCAGCAGTGAGTGAGAGTGCGATGGTAATGTCAATGTCAGAACAAACTACTGTTGATAAATACCCACTTGAGAGGGAAATTGATGAGTATTAAAGAAAGGAGGGAAGCTGACATGTAATACAATAAAGTCAAGGATCGATACAGGAAGCAGGGTGTGAGACAGGGCAGGATACAGTGTAGACACAAACTGACAACAAAACACAAAGAGATAGTTATATAAAGAAGACTTGGCAACAACTGACATCTCTTCCAGCTGCTCCCAGTTCTCCATTATCACCCTACAGAATAAAGACAGCAGAGTCAGATATATAAATAAATAAAGACATAATAAGCACAATCTTTATAAACATTTTCCTAAAACAGACACTAAGTTTTCCTATCTGAAGTATTTTTTATTTCATATTCAGTACATTTTATTAAGTGATTTACATGAGGTGTTCTTCAAAATATTCAAATATCCTTTACTTTAACATACTATAAAGACATTTAGACGAGGATATCGGAGGAGGTTATAGATGTGTCAAATACATTTGTCAAAAACATGTTGGGCATCAACTTTTTTATTCAAAACACTCACAAAACCCTACTTGACTAAACCCTACCCTCTACATTTTAGATGTGCATATAAATGGACAAACAACTACAAACCTTTCTGCCATCTTCACCGGGGACACCATCCTCGCCCTGTAGGTCAAAATGCATTAGAGACTCGTTCAAACAAACAAACAAACTGAGTAATGGTCGCTCTGCTGCTGGAGCACTCAGATAATTCTGTGCCGTTGGTTCAGAGAGTTAATTAAGACTTGCATTATGCAGCAGACCCCAAAATATATATTCCTTCAGTCCTTTATTTACAAGGCCATTACCAAATAAGAGAATGATGGAGATATATTCTGAGAGATCAAAATAAAGGAGGGCATGGAATTTCATGGAAAAATGCTCTTTCTTTCCAATCCCATTCACTGTTAGCTAACCTCCAGTATTATAAAATAACAGTTTTTGTAAAGAGTTACCATTTTGCCAGCAGAACCAGGTTTGCCATCTGCACCTGCTTTGCCCTGAAATATAACAACAACAATCAGGACAATAAAACCAAAGTAAATGTGGTCAAACAAAAAATGTAAGAGATATGTATATACAGGTATTAACGGTGTGTGTGTGTGTGTGTGTGTGTGTGTGTGTGTGTGTGTGTGTGTGTGTGTGTGTGTGTGTGTGTGTGTGTGTGTGTGTGTGTGTGTGTACTTACAGGTATCCCTGCAGCGCCTGAAGGCCCAACAGGCCCTTGGGGGCCCTGCTCCCCTCTAAATCCTGCTAAACCCTGGTAAATAATAAAGCCAACGCACATTTTCGAATAAATGACCATTGAGCAAAATGTATAGATATTTGCTCACATTTTGGACTGTACTGTAGCAATGTGAGGAAAGTCTAAAGAGAGTTTAAAATGTTTACTTTAGTACTTAGCAAACATGGCCACTGTGGTTAGTTATGGATGTACAGCAGCAGTAATAGATCAGTCATGGGTCTGCCCCTTAAAACAAGATTTAGACTCTTTACTAATTGTTACATCGTTGAGGACTTTCAGAATTATTATTAAAGTCAATATTTTATTATAGTCTCCTGTGAAACTGGACTGGCATGAAGACGTCTTTACCTTCAGACATCTTATGCAACTGGCCATAAGAGTGCAAACTGAATTTGAACACCTCCACAGTGCCCTCTGCAGCATGTACACGTCAAGTGCAAATACTATGCAATTCGGGGCAGATTTTCCTTAACATAATACACTGTTCGATACAGAATTTGGATGATATGATCATAACTCCAAAGTAAACACTTTTGAACTACTTTTAAATCACTTCTTGCTGGCGGAGAACTCACTGCTCCATAGTTTGTCTTTTGTTAACTGGACTTAAAAGTTCACACTGTACATTTTAACTTTATATTTAATTAGCCATTCTTGCTTACTAAATGTAAATAACATCCTACTGTTATATTGTGTTAGCTTTGATACAGCCCCTTAATAGTGTTTTATTAGTCAGATAGTCTACATATTTTATTTGTATATTCACAGTCAACTTTTATATTTCCCCCATTAGTTCTGTTTTATCTTCTAATTGTAAATGTTTATATTGTATCATTGTTTATTTTCTAATTATGTGCAATACTTTATTATACATGCTGCTGCATGAAAACACTTCCCAATTTTGGATTAATAAAGTATATATTATCTTTATCTTATTGACTTACTCAATACATATCAATCACACAACTTTAGTGAGCATAACACTAAACATTTATCAGCATTCCCTTTCATATCATTGCTTGGAATACAGATTATAACCACACAGAAGCAATGAACTCACGTCTCTCCCATGATCCCCCTGTTTTCCAGCATCACCCTGTAACATGAAGAGAACAATACATTGTATTAGCTGCACTAATTCACCACCCAGTAAATCTCTACATACAATGTGTTGTTATGGTTTTAGAGAAAAAATAATATAAACTGAAGTACCCTCTGACCAGGGGGTCCAGCAGCACCTAGTTTACCATCTATACCAGAACGTCCATCTAACCCGGAAGTTCCCCTTTCTCCCTATCACAAAGACATGTAGGGTTTGAAAACACATTTACTTTACAGCAACAGAACAGTTTGAGTATCACTTTAACTTCTGCCCATGGTGCTTTCTTCTACACAGATAAAAATAAACTGAGACCAGTTTATTTTTTTCAATATTGATAAAATGACATGTGTTCCTGTAGCTTCAGTAGGTGAGATTGTGAGGACCAGCCACACTGATTTCAAACCTTCTCTCCAGGCGCTCCTCTTTCCCCTGTATCACCCTGGAAAGAATAGAAATGACAATGATGCTTGTTTCAACAAATCTGTAGAACTGAGCATGTCCACAAAGAAATGTGCAAAAGCCCCTTTTTAAACATTTTGTTTAAGAGAGATTTAATCACAAGTTTCTAGGAAATGAATCTCGAAGCAAAAATAGACCATAGAAAATGACTGAATTTTCTAAGGTAAGGTAAGGTAAGGTAAACTAAGGTAATCTTTCACGACAAGACCAACACCACCGATTAGATGACTAAGAAGGATGTATATTTAAATACGTATATTCATGAGGATTGAAGCAGAGACAAAGTGACAGAAATAAAACATACTCTTGTGCCTGCAAGTCCCCGTTGTCCCTCAGGGCCCTTTATAGGAAGCAAGGAAAGCAGAGAAGTCATAAAGGATCATCAGTCACGCATAGCAAATCAACATGGAAGGGGGTCAGTGGGCATCCAGATGCAGATACTGTACGGGGGCTTCTCAGATGCTCACGGAAGCATTTACAAATTGCAAGAATGAGACAAACTCACTCGTAGGCCTGCAGCTCCGGGAGTCCCCGCTTCGCCTTTTTGACCTTTGCCGCCGTGCTCTCCTGGGTCGCCAGCATCCCCCTGGAAATTACAAACATGTAAGTCGTAACTAGAGGTAACCATGACTATTTGGGGCGTTTTTAGGCACAGTTTGTCTGAAATTGGACTGGAGGGGGGTCCCAATTGTAATCCAATGGCTCTTCACAAAGTTCACACCTTTTCTCCTCCCACTCCTTTCAGCTGGCCCTGGATGTCAGCCTGTCGAAGAGACCAAACATGAAGGATCAGAATTGTGTTTAAAGGAAGTTTTTTATCAAAAGTAAGAAGATGCTGCATACTGTAGTTACTAACTCTAGTTTGCTTTAATTAAACACATGTTGATTAATCATCATTAGGGTTCATTGTGTTTTACACATACAGTACAGTAGAGTGTGATACACTCACCACTTTTCCTGGTGGTCCTGGAGGCCCTTGGGGACCCTTGAAGAAGAGAGTGAAATATGTAAATTCACCTATGGTAAATCAAATATATATTGATTAAAAAAATAAAGCCAATAACAAACCAGTTGTCCTTTATCTCCTCTCAGTCCCGCAGGTCCAGGGCTGCCCTATGATCGAACACACATCAATAAATATGCAGCTGACCTTCCTTAGCGCTTCTTCTCTCAAGGCTTTAGTGAAAAAGCACAAGAGCGTATTGAAAAGCTGTCTGTATGATGAAACGTAAATGTGTGCCTCACATTTCGTCCTGACTCTCCAGGGTCTCCCAGGTCTCCCTTCTCTCCTAGTCGTCCGGGCTGACCAGCCAGTCCCTGAGGGAGGTCAATTCAACATGTCAACTGAACTTCCCTTTGATGTACCATGGTCGTTTTAAAGTTTAACAAGGAAACTTCAATCTAAAATGTGCCAAAGACACTTGTCCTACCCTCAGTCCTCTTTCGCCCGACTTCCCCGGAAGTCCAGATTCCCCCTGATGAAAAGCAAGTTAAAAACAAACCAGACATTTGCGGTGACTTGTAAGCAATCATCTTTATGAATAAACACACGTTTTATGCAGAGAGTGGATGTTGTGATGTTTGCATCAATACAAAAAACATATACTTACAGGTGTGCCTTCATCACCCTTTTCTCCTCTGTCTCCCTTTAAAAAGAATAAAAATAGTTTGTTCATTTTAACATAGGGAACCTTAATGCTGGTACATTTCTAAATCCACAAGAGCAACTGAGTAGAGGGTCAGTGAATAGAGCACACAAATGTAATGCCCCACCAATAATTGTTTATACCTCTTAAATGGCATCATTACAAGAGACGCATGGTGGAAAAAGAAGAAGAAAGCAGCAATCTGATCTTTGATTACATCATTGAGAAAAACATGCAATAACAGCAAGTGCTTGACTTTGTTATAACAATAATGCAATGTCATGTTTAACTATGTAAAGGAAACCCCTAAAAGAAGGTCATGATACAATGATAAGATCATCATTGCTTCAACTAACAATCATTTTCTAAAATAGCATTTTGTGGTTTTATGCCTCAGCCAAAAGGTCAGATTGCAGTTCCATGTCTGTCCAAAATATCATCAATTCATCATTTTATCTTATTAGACAATTGTGTGAAATTGTCATAATTTGAATATGAATTGACGAGGGGTGGCCAAAAAGCTGTCTCTCTGAAAACCAAATTATAATCAGTTCATCCTTAATGATTGTGCCAAATGTTGAGAAATTCCCTCAAAGTGTTCCTGAGATATCACGATCATTAGAATGGGATAGATGTACAGACAGACAGAGGGAAAATGCAAAAACATATTGCCTCCAAGATGTTCCTGGCAAGACGGCAATAAAACCAGAGAAAAGCAGTACCTCCTCACATTAAAGAGCAAAAATAACTCATATTTTGTTAAAATAAATCTTAAAAATAGCTTCTATTCAAAGTAATTACTACCCAGTAGGGGTGTAACGGTATCCGTATTCGTCCCGTACCGTCACGGTTCGGACGTCACGGTTCGGCACACGCAGTCACACGACGAATACGCCTTTTTTTTTATGAGTGGGAAAAAAGTCTGTCATTCAGGGCAGTATCCACTACACTATGTATAATCCAGGGGGCGGTATTGCGCCTAAAAGCTGTTTGCCAGCCACCCTTAAACAACAAATGAAGAACAAGAAGAAACACAACAACAAAACGAACAAAATACAAGAAGAAGAAAAGTTAGTATGGCGATTTCAGATAACACAGGAGCTAGAACCCACCTGCTTCTTTTAAATCAGCTGTGTGGGAACATTTCGGGTTCCCTGTGGACTACAATAACGATGGAGTGTGCGAGTGGTGGATCGGACGAGGACGGTGTGTCGCCGTTGTTCTACAGTGGTGCGGTATGCTAATGGTAACACACGCCAAACATGCTAAATCATATCAGAAGGCATCACCCAGATTGGCCAATCACCGGAGCCCGGCCAAAGACAACAGCAGTTCAACAGCTGATCCCCTCTGTTTTTATAAACCAATAGACATGAAAGCCGTGAGACCAAAATAAATAACGGAAGCTTTTGGCATATGGTTTTCAACGACTTTGCGCTCTTGAAACACTTTCTTATTATTTATGATGTCATATTTTCAAGACATTCTTTTTAGTTTTACAGCTTGATGAAACCTTTTTGTTTGACATCAGCCATTATAGATAATATGGCCATCTGAGTGTACTGTGTATGGTTTGTTTTTAACTGTTTAATACAGTTCATTATTCAAAAAAGAGTTCTTTATTTTTAAACTGAAACTTGCACTACTGTTCAATCATAAATAACAACAAACCTGGAATTATGCATTTGGGACTTTTTTTTGCTTTTTCTTGTTGTACCGAACCGTACCGAACCGTGACCTCCAAACCGAGGTACGAACCGAACCGTGACTTCTGTGAACCGTTACACCCCTACTACCCAGCCATAATTCCTACTCCATGTAGAGAATTCTAAGAGGATATTAAAAACAGGTGTGGCAGTAGCTATCGTTGGAAAATGAATTGTTTTACTTTTGGCAGTTAAGATATGGTTGTGGCATACACCACTCTCACCCCTTTCCCGGGAAGGCCAGCTTTTCCGGGGATTCCTGGTCGCCCATTCTCCCCATTCTCTCCCGGTTCTCCTGGAGTTCCCTAAACATCAGTTAAAAGACCATATTGACAATCAAATAAAGCAGGAATAAACAGAAAGTCTTAAAACGCGCACATAAAACATCTCTCACCTTGCCACCCGGCCTTCCACTGAGACCAGCAAGTCCCTGCGGGCAGAGCACATGTTTTATGTATTTTCAGTTTCAGTGATTATGAGGCATGACTTGCACTGACAGGTGGCACAAGGGAAATGTTTTATAAATAATAGATGTTATAGTCAGGAATATATCACAGCAGCCGTAAACATTATGATGTTTGAACATTTGTTGCTCTGATAAAAGGGAGGTTATGATGCCTCTGCTGTGAACTTACTCTTTCTCCCGGCTCTCCTTTAGATCCAACATCAGAGCCTCCTGAGCCTGAAGACCCCTAAAAAAATAACACAGGAAAAAATGTCAGACCACAGACAAAAAACATATATTTTAGGCATCATCATCATCATCTTCTGGTTGCTCACTTTCTCTCCTTTCTGGCCTAAATCTCCTTTATCACCCCTCTCCCCGTCAGATCCAGACAGGCCTCGGTCCCCCTGTTTGACGACAGAAAACGAGAGGAAACCCATCAGAGTGGAGGAACAGCAACATGTTTAGATGAAATGATTTCAAAAGTATAACATTTGATAGTTTACCTGGTCCCCTTTCTTTCCTCCCAAACCTGGAGCCTGCATGATTTGAATTATACAGTAAGGAGTCATCATCACAGACAAAGACTGACATAGACATTAAGCGAATCTCCATATGAAAGGACAGATACATTATTATATGTCATTTTTCTGCATTATCTGATCACTCACACTTCTGCCAGGCTCTCCACGTGCACCATCGTTTCCCTGGGAACAGACAGGTTCAGTTGTTCTTTCATCATTGCTTGGAAATTCATTACATCTGATTATTAAAGGTCCTGTGATCGAATCACGTTCCTATTGACCTGCTGCTACTCGTATGAATACATTAATTTGATCAGTCTCACCTTTTCTCCTGTGGCTCCAATGGGCCCTGGCAAACCCTGATGACAAATGGAAAGATTAATTAATGAAACCATCTTTGCATTTAAAGCAGGAAATATGAAACAAAAAGGCACACTGACGCCATTAGCCAACACAACATGGCAGTCTGTCACTCACTCTCAAGCCTGTTGTTCCTGCGAGGCCCGACTTCCCGAGGTCCCCCTGGAAGACAACAACATTATTGAAATAGCAGGACAAAACAGAACTAAGAGGAAAGGATTTCAACATGTGAACTCATTAGGCGCACTGCGGTACTTTTCCCACAAAGGTTCATGTGAACTTAGTTCATGTGAACTCTTTAGTTCGCATGAACTAAGTACAGATCGCGTTCACACTGGAAAAAGTCCCTGGGGGTGGATTAGGCAAATGAAGCCGCTGACGTCACTTGTTCTTCTTCTGCTTTGGGTTTACTGGCAGGCCGCAAACCACTTCACGGCGTATACTGCCGCCCAAAGTCCCCGGCCGGAAGTCCCCGGAGTTAGGGACTGGCTTCAGTAGAAGCTGCTGGGACTCCCAGCAGCTTCTACTGAAGCCTTCCGAGTAAATCGCCAGAACGCCGACACCTCCTCATCTCCACCACTCCCATGTTTTATTTTGTGTTGCCATAAGTTAGTCTCTCTGCGTTTCTGCGCTGGGCTAATGCTAATGCTAATAATGCTAATGCGAGGATAATAAAATGGCGGCTTCACAAAACTTTTTGGGAGTTTTGCGGGACGTGGTTTGCAATCCTTCCAGCCAATCAGAAATGTAGCTCTTTTCTCACAAAAGAGCCGCTCGAAAGTCCCTGCTCTCTAGCAGGGACTTTCGAGGGGGTAAAAAGGTTCACATGAACTAATTTTAGTACCGGCTCTTTTTGGTGTGAACGCGATAAAAGAGTTCACATGAACTAAGTTCACATGAACCTTTGTGGGAAAAGTACCGCAGTGTGAATGCGCCTATTTATATAAAAAAACTGAACCACTACTGCTCTACTCACCCTCTCCCCAGTTTCACCATTTAGTCCTCTCTCCCCCTGCGAAGAGACACATGTCCAGATTCATTGATTGTTTTCAAGTCAAATGACATGTTCTGTGACTAATTGTTTTAACTAGAGTCTTTTCAGGTTTAGTTCTTGATCTCTTCCTCGACCTTATTTATTGTCAATACAACCTGCATTTTACATTTTTACGTCAGAAATGTTTAGCTTGCTTTGCCAAGGGGCAACTTTGCAGAATGACAGACTTAAGAATATTTCTCTTATTTTAATAAACAAGCTCTTTTAGTCTAATGTGATCAATTGAATTCACAGTGGCATTTCCTTTATAAGAAAATTATGAGCAGGGCACCCAGCACCCTTTATTTGAGACTCAAAGTACTTACCTGTGAATATGGAACACAGTCATTTAATCTATTAAAAACCCACACTATCACTCCACAAACTCACACACATTCAAACACAGACATCCTTGACTGATTCACTCTCCTCGAAGGACTCACCCTGTCTCCCTGTGATCCAGCCTCACCTGGCTGTCCTCGGTCACCCTATCAATATGGAAAGAGTGAGAAAGGTATTTCTTCTATTTTAAGCTTACAAGATAAGTGATTTTCTTATCATTACTTTACCTTGCCACCAGTTTCTCCTGTAGGCCCACGGGGACCCTGGAAGACATGAGCAAAATGCTTATTCATACATTTATTATCTGATTAAGGATTTTATGTTTCAGTGCTGTGTATTTATGTTGTTTAACAAAAATGAAGATATTTCAGTGATAGTTGGTGGAAAGTAGGGCCATGGTCTACTAACGTTTGAACTGTGATGGCCAGACCATGTGGCCATTTTAAAAGCAGCTGATACCTTTGATCCAGCAAATTTCACACAAGTCATTATTTTACAAAATGTTGAAGTCATTTCATTCTTGTATTAGCTGTGCCATTGTGTTTTTTGTGGTTGTGATGTGTAGGAAAAGGATTGTTCAGGTGTAGAAGAGGTATGTGCCGTCAGGGTTTTCTAGTCTTTACTATGTCCAAAAACCGGACTCATCACCATGACATCAGCCAACGACTGTGTTCAACCTACCTGGTCCCCAGGCACTCCTTGCCTGCCTGCAGGTCCAGCCTTCCCATCACCACCGTCACCCTGAAAAGCAACCATAAGCAATTACTCTGGGTTAAACATCTCACATGCTCAAACACTCATTCACTGAATCAATATGCAGCTACCTTGTCTCCTTTGCTGCCCTGTGGACCTGGTAGCCCTCTAAGACCCGGAGTCCCTGCAGATGCTGGAGTACCCTGATAAAAAAATGCAATTAGTTCATGCAAAATACCCACACATGCACACATTCAGAGTAGATCTGCAAACCCAACATGTCAGCACATAGGCAGTGATTGACAGCGCTTACTGGGGAGCCCTTCTCGCCCTTCACGGCCACCCCACTGCCGACTCCTGGAAGTCCCTGTCAGCAAAGAGAGATAAGAGCTGAGAATCATTATGCTCGGGTGCTCCGTGGGATACTTCTGCAGTGAGAGGATGAGCAGGTGATGCTGTGGTGTGACTCACCCTATCTCCTGGGTTGCCCCTGTCTCCCTGCAGAAAGAGGAAGAAAGACAAAAAGGGTGCTTAATATTTGTTGTTAGGAAACGTATCTCAACGTTAAGGCAAACTAATTAAAGGAAATCAAGATTTGGGACATAATAGTAATAAATAATTTGTCTTTATTTTGTATTACTGAGGAATTAAAACAGCTGTAATAGTTTTCTAGGAGTGACAATCGATAGTCCTAATCATATGAGTTTCCAGATAATCTGTCCTATACAATCAGTATCTGTCTCTAAAACATATTATAATACCTTTTCGATGCAGTGGAAACTATATAAATTAAAGTCTGTAAGTAGGCCTTTTTTCTCAAATTTGGATGGACAAAAAGTTATAAAATCATGCATTAGAAATGATATTATGTAACAAAAGTTATCCTAAAATCTCAACATTCCTGGCACATACAGTAAATGCTTGAGCTTCCAATAAAGAAATAAGCATGTGGCTCAATGCTGCCACCATGTGTATGAGTCTGACAACAACAGTCTCATCTTGGAGGAGTGGATGGAGCCATGAGACTCCTTTGAGAATTCATTAAGGTCTCAATAGAGAAAACTGGAGAAGAGGTTTTTTTTACAGAATTTGGAAATCTAAAAGAGAAGATTATTTGTTGAAATAACAGACCACATCTGTTATTTCAACAATCTGGATATCGTGCATTTGGGAAACATATTTTTAGATAATAAGATATTTCTGTTTCATTGGTTTAATACAAAACATAATTGTGCATGTGAGACTACATGTGTTCTTGTTAACGTCTGTAAAGAGTTCAATGAGTCAAAAAGCCTGAATATTAAACGTGCAAATGTTTTCGCACCAAATGGCCTGGAATCATTTGAAATTCTGTTTCAATTATTATCACATTGGTAATTAAACACAGCTGCTCCATACGTCACTCCAAAATGCCAAAGGGCTGACAGCAGCCAATGATCTGACATTGGTTAACACAGCTTCATCAGGACAGAAGATGAGCATGGCATATCAAAGACAGTCTGTGTTTGGATTTGTTACAGCATCATGAGCTAATAGAGTGACTTTGCTGGTGTTTATATTAGGTGTCTCAAAGAGCTGATACAAACTACAGATACTTTCAGGGGGCAGTGGGTGAGGCTAACCTTGATGGAGAGTCCTGGTGTTCCTGGTAAACCTGCACGACCTTCCTGACCAGGTGTTCCAGGAACACCGGGCCCACCCTTGCCGCCGTTGCTGCCTGGTCGACCAAGAGAACCCTTTGTAAACAACACAAACAATGGTTAGAATGCAGAAAATACTTAATACATCAACAACAGCTACACCAAGGCTTTGTAGAGGGTTTTGGTTGGAAGGGTATTTACAATTTAATGTGCCCATACAAAGTACATATGTGACTTGCTCTATCGAAATCAGTCGCATTGACCCGAAGACACATTTTGAGTTGTATACACTGTTGGAAAGAGGAGATTCCTAGCTTTCTAATGATATCAGGATTGTTTTTGTACTCCAAATATTAAAGGTCCCATGTCATGCTTTTCCGGTTATTACCCGTCCCCTTGTGTGTTACGTAGCTTTTTCTGCATGTAAACGGTCTGCAGAGTCACAAACCCTCAAAGTACACCCTGTAGCGAGTAAAACTCTAACACAGAAAAGACCTGTCTATGCTGCCCCAGAACGCCGCGTTGGAGATTTTTTCATTTTTTTCTTCCTGAGTATGGTGACGTAACCATGCCCAGATCCAAATGGACCAATCTGTGGAGCTCCTCACACACACACACACACACACACACACACACACACACACACACACACACACACACACACACACGCTCAGGCTGAGTTCCGTGGTGTCTCGCTGTCTCGCAGACTCCACGCAGCAACCAGGAAATGACACCAGTAATCCAGCTCACACTGTCCGCTCCTCGAGCCTCAAAGGGCGGGGCAGCAAGCCCCGCAACGTCCCGCCAATACGGCACCCAGACCCCACGCAGCATTCTCATCTGTTTGTCATTACTGGTGTCATTTTCTGGTTGCTAACAAACACCATTGTAACACATGAACACACATCAGAGGACAGTGGGCTCATAGGGAGGGAGGGGGGGGCAGGAGCTCCAACAAGGCGTGTAGGACAGAAAGTGAATACACATACTATACAGAGATGCTGTATGAGAAAACCAATGTGATTTTGGAACATTGAACATTGTAAATCTATTCTAGTAGACCTCAACAATGGAATTATGATCAGTAGAAATGGCCATGAAATGGGACCTTTAAGCAAAATATGTCACATTATATAATGACTGTCACCGAGTTATCATTTTGAGAAAAAGGCCTTCAAAGTTTCCTCTTCTCTGGAATCCATCAATCTGATTGATTATTAGCGGAGCAAATGATCAAAGTAGTACGGAGGGAAGATATTTTCGTTTGGATTACTGGTCTGGGGGAAGCTCGCAAGTGTGTGTGTGTTTGTGTATTTTTGCGTTTGTGTGTATTGTGTTTGTTTACCGGGGAAAACACTCACGAGAAACACCGGCTGTTGTTATGCCTGCTGTGACGTTAAGGTACTCTGTTCTCCGCTTGTAATTATGCCGTCACAAGCTTCAAAGCTGTATTTATCATCTGAATTTGCTGAAATAAGTTTAATATTCTGAAAGCCAAGACTTTGTTTATTTGAAATCAGATGAAAACAAACTGTAACGGAACCTGCCGTGTTATCTATGATTACTATACTCTTACATTCATAATTTCAGCCGGAGGGAGGGGGGGCGGCGCTGCGGAACAGCAGAGTGGCGAGTGAGAGGTGCCTGTCATCTTCCCTTTACAAGCTTCATCGTTTATTTCCAAAATCGTGTGATTTTGGAAATACAATTTTCATATTCTGAAAGCCAAGACTTTGTTTATTTAAAATCAAACAAAACACCCAAACCCCGAAAAACTATTTTTTTACGCAAATCCACGTTTATTTTTAAATGAGCCTTTGCGACTTCCGACTGATTTCGATAGAGCAGGTCACTAGTATAAAAATAATGGAAAAGAAAAAACTTTATTAATTGAACTGCTATTAAAAAGGGTAAGCTAAAATGTATAATATCACTTCCAGACAGGACACGTTAAACATATTAACATATAGACAAAATACAGAATTGAAGCTATGATAAAATAAGCAGTAGGTACTTGGTGGTGAGGACAGAATCCAGGTTAGACAAATAGATATAAAGACCTTTCTGCATAGGTGGGTTGGGGTCAAAGTAACAACAGTTTGTTTCTTACCGGTATTCCCGGGAGGCCTGGCTCTCCTTTCCTCCCTGGAAGACCCCCTCCTGATATAGCTGAGCCTGGTACTCCCTGAAGCATCAGCAAAGCAACATACAAAAACACATACACACACACACACACACACACACACACACACACACACACACAACACACACACACACACACACACACACACACACACACACACACACACACACACACACACACACACACACACACATAATTGGCACATTACTTTGTTTTCTGTCTCTTTCAAACTCGCACAAATAAATAATTGTATGTGATTCAATAAATATTAATAAATCCTAGTAAGGTGGGTCTGGAAAAAGATGAAAATGATTGCTCAGCTCACCCTTTCACCTTTTGCGCCTGTTGGTCCTAGTGGCCCAGTCCCACCTATTTGACCCTAGATCAAGAGAAAAAAGAACTGTAGTCACAATATTCAAATATCCAATTTACAACTTTTCAGGAGAACAAGGTACTCACTGGATCTCCTCGTATACCAGGTATGCCCTGCGAACCCTACAGACACAAAAACATCATCATTTTGTTACCTCTATGCACAAGGTTTTCAAAGTTTGAGACAGTGGGCCTCACCTCAGACAAACGTTTGAACATGGTGATGCCTGACCCTCCTCCTTTACTTGCTTTTAGTTTATGGGATCATAATTACATTATTTCATACCAAAGATTTACAATTGAGCTAAGGTCGCGGTTTGAGATAATAATAATTCCACACCAGTTCTGTCCTAAGGAAACATTACAATTCCCCCAAAACTATCTAACTAACTACTTAACTACTATCTGTTGAACCCAATCACACACATATAGGCTACTCTATGTTATTCTGTTTTTAACCAACATGATATTTACTCACCGGGAGCCCTCCACTTCCAGAGGAACCTGGTCGTCCCGGCAACCCTGGACTTCCATCAATGCCAGGAAAACCCTGATCAGGAAACAGACTCCTCGTTACCGTTTTTCTCACTAGGAAGTTTGTTAAGCTTTTAAATAACCTCAGCTGTACTCACCCTCTCTCCCTTTTCTCCTTTCACCCCCCCTGAGGGGTCAACGGTGATGGTTTGACCTGGAGGACCTGGGCGACCTTCAGGGCCTATGGAGCCTTCCCTCCCAGGCAGACCATCACGACCCTAAAGCAAACACACACACACACACACACACACACACACACACACACACACACACACACACACACACATACAACACAACATTAGTATGAAAACAAATTCAGTAGATTGCTGTTAAGAGGCAACTGTTAATAAAGGACTCACAGGATCTCCCTTGCGTCCATCTGTGCCATCGCTGCCTCTCTCACCCTGTGGAGTCAAACATAAACATGCCATTTAAAAGCGAATGATACAAATTAAAAGGAAAGTGCTAAATCATTTATCAAAAGTCTGCTCTTTACCGTCCCACCGGGACGTCCCTGTTCACCCTAAAGGGAATTAAAAAATGTACATTTAGAAATCATACAGTAGGGAAAAGGAGCCACAAAGTCTTTAAAGATGTTTCTAGTCCAATAAACTGTCATTATTATCACGTGATTTTGTACAAAAGTATATTTAGAGAACTCACCTGAGGGCACTGAACGGTACACTGCTCTGGACCTGGACCTACCTAAACAAGGACAGAAAAATGAGGCTGAGATGAGAGGGTTTTGTATTTCATCTTCATGTATAAATGTATTTAGATTCCATGCTAATTCACAAAATACCATGAACAATATTTGTTGGAACCCATGTCCAAGAGAGTCACACTATTGTATTTACACAATATTGGGAATAAAAAAGAACAATAAAACATAGTTTCTTCTTACATCTGGTATTCTGGCAATGCCACAGAGCAAGTCTGCCAGGTCAGTGTGTAGGGTGTCCAACTGGGCTGCATCACGGATGTAAAGGATGTTCTGGGTGCTGCCGTCCGTCACGGCCCGACGCAGCTCCTCTGTGTTTGCCTGGTCTATACCTACAGCTAACACTGTCACACCTACACCTACACACGCGCACACACACGCGCACACACACACACACACACACACACACACCACACACACACACACACACACACACACACACACACACACACACACACACACACACACACACACACACACACCCACACACACACACACACCACACACACACACACACACACAGGAAGGAAGAAGACTTTTGAATTTGTATGTCTAATATGTGTGTTTTTTTATTTACATAAAGTTCAGTTTTCTTGTTAGTTCAGACGAAGACACCCGTACAAAAAATAGGGATGCTCCGATCGGGAATTTTGGGGCAGATCGCCGGAATCAGTATCGGCCGATACCGATCGCCGATCCGATCGGGTGGGTGGGGGCTATGGGGATCTTCCTTTAAAAAGGGGTGTTTAAAACTCAGTTAAAGATGGGGTATGTAATTCACTTCAGAAACAATTTTTTGTTATATTCCATGGAATGCTCTTAACACCCCGATAGCAATGAATACATTAAATGCTTTGACAATAAATACATACAAACATTTCATCTGTGGAAGCCGTGGCGCTGCAAAAAGCACGACCAATCATTTTAGCCGGCCCGGCTAAAATAACTGGATGGCCTACCTGCCTGTCAGCCTTCCATCTTGTGCACAAACTTATCTTGTGCCCTCATTGGTCATGTGCGCGTTCGTGTGTGTTGGAGGAGGGGCTCTGTAAGGAACTCTGAAGGAAGGGGCAGATTTTTTTTTCTTTCAAATTCTAGCGCACTCGAGCTGGTTTCTCCATTCTTACCTACCCTACCTTTAATGGGGCTCATTTTTATATTGCTTCAGTTTAGAATCGTAACGGATCGAAAAGTTCAGATGAATTTTTCAATACATGATGCGCTTCCACAAACAACAACTAACATAATTATTACATTCAAATGAAGTACATTATTCAAGTGTACATTAACTTTGGATAATAACACGGGAGAAATAAGCGGAAGTGCTCTCTTTTCCTCTCTCCCTCCCTTACAGCCCGTCAGTATCCGTCTCATGCAGCTCACTGATCCAGTAATGAGTGACCCGACAGTGAAGAATACATATATTTATAGCTAGTTTAGCTAGTTCCAGAGGTAGATAAAATAGCTAAGTGTGTGTTTTGCTCCGCTCACCGGTCCGTCACAGCAGGCGGAGCTGCAGGATTTCTGCTTCACACACGTTGCATACCGCTATTTTATTGTCTTTTTCGGACACCTTAAAATACTGCCAGACTGGTGAAGCCATTTATGCGAGCTTGTTTTGCCGCGCACAGAGAAAGTGTCACGTATTTTACGTCATGTGCTCGGCTCCCTTGATTGGCCTTTATAGAGAGCACCGATCGATAACGGCCGATCGATCGGAGTATCTCTACAAAAAATAGATTTGTGTTCCCGAGGGGACATCTATCACAGAGCTATGGCTGTTTTTTTAATTTACACTTTTAATTCAAGTTACATACACTTGCTAGCGGAAATCTTAAGACTAAATTGTCCAGATGAAACCAACTACAGTGATCTTTCTGGTGCAGGTGGTCACATACCTTCAGGTAAAGCAAACACTACATTTCATTCACAGATGACTGCTGTGTGTCTGATTCTTGGTCCTCTCACCTGTAGCCCTAAGACCGAGGGCTGCCAGAGTCAGATTGTCAGCTGAGTTTCTGTCAGCGATGATGACGACAGCACCAGGGACCCTCGGTCTCCGTCCAACTGAGGGGGTCAGCAGGTATTGCCTGGTGTAGGTCACCGCCTCACCTGCAGAGGGAGACACACCATATCACAACTCTTAACACAAACATATCAAGCAGTTTGTACAGAAAAGGTAATCAAACAGAGAAAAAAACTGACCAATGTTATTTCCCGGGCTTTCATCAAACGGTGTGGACTGGATCTGTTGAAGAAGTGTGTCATACCTGCTATGGCGACTAAGTGGGAACCATGTTTTGGGTCTGTAGCCATATACTACAACTCCCACCTGAAACAGGCAGAAAATACATCTGAATATTGGAAGCAGATGCAGGTGTTTTCTCCACTGCCTGTTTTAAGATTTATTTTAAGGGCAGTACCTGAGAGTCCCGGGCTCCAATAGTATTGAGAGACCCTGCTGCACTTGCGAGGAGTTCACGCAGTGGTCTTGCGAGGCTACTTCGATCGGTAGATGCCGGAATCACAAACACCACGTCCAGACGTCCGCCCACACACACTGTGAGAAGATAATGTTGTAGAGGTAAGTAAGGTATGAAAATGTGTCAATGGGTATGGTAAGTACATAAAACAGGATGTGCGGCTTTGTTACCAGTGCGTTCATCTAGAGAGCTCTCTGTTCCCAATCCATTTGCAAAAGTGGGCTGCACGGTGAAACGATAACGACGGCCCAATCGCAGCCCAGTCACCTGGTAGAAGTTGGACGCAGCGGGGAGCGTAACAGACAAGCCTGGACCAATGTCTGAGAGATGTGAACAGTTATAATGATAGGACTGAAGAGCAGGCATAGTCTTAAATAAATAAATTACAACACTTCACCTCTCTCGTCTCTCCAGCGTAGAATATATCCTGTGGCGCCAGGAAGTGGAGTCCAGCCAAGCCGCACTGAATCCCTGGTAACCTCCGCAACTCGTAAAGTTGTGGTACGTGATGGGGGGGAGGGGGAACCAGCTGTATACACGGGTATAGAGAAGCAGCATTTCAATTGCATAAGACATTTCAACAAATATAATTGTTGGAACCCAAGATTTACAGATATATTAAACTATAGCACACAAGACAAACAGTATTCCCAGGCTTGACAGTGACTTTCAAGGTTTTACTAAGTCACTGAATGTTGGCAAGAAACATTTGACATTATACAAGATATTACTGAGGCCTAAAATGCAATATACTGTATATTATATTCTAAAGCTATATTTTACTACATTAAGCACTTTTATAAAAAAAAGTACTGTTATATGCATCCATTCTTTAAAAAAGTATGTTGCTGTACTTAGTTGCTTTATTTAATGATCTACATCTACACACTTTGGTTGGATATTTTAAGCATTAAAACAATAATATAAACGATAATGTCTGAGTAAAGAAAGACAGGACTCACGTGTGGTGACTCTGACAGACACGGGGGTTCCCTCTCTGTTTTGAACTAAAGCCATGACCCGCACTTCGTACTGGGCTCCCTGGTCCAACTGGTCTAAATCCACTGCTGTCACATCTCCCGCCACCAGCTGACTCCTCTCTTCACCACCTACAGCAGCACATAGTCGCAACAGTGAGGAGTGTAATACAGTCTGGCTGCAATAAATCACCCACCACAATAGAAAGCAACTTATTTCTTGAAGTCAAATTGATGCTTTGTGAGATGTATATGGGATTTTAACCCCAAAAAACATGTCAAGTTATAGGTCTACCATCTGTTCTCCTCCAAGACACACGGTAAGACGTTGCTCCCTGCACACCAACCCAGGTGACTCGGACCACCTCTCCACGAGCCTCCTGGACTTGCAGTGACGTCACAGTCCCAATCACAGAATTATCTGACTCTGGAGATCAGAACAGGAAACATTTAGTCAGTTATTTTATTTTGTACTACACTAGTCATAGCCAAGTTTCTCCCAAAAGACACTATAGACAAAAGCAATAATATGCATTTGATTCAGTGTGGTACCTGTTTTGAAACTCAGGGTGGAAGGACTCCCCTCTCGAGAGCCGGTAAGTGAAGAAACTAATACACTGTATGCTGAATCTGACTGTAGTCCGTCAATGGTGTAAGAAGAGACATCAGCGGCCACGTTACGAGTTGTTTCAACTCCTGCAAAAGCAAAATATGGCAGAGAAATGAACATTTAGATGTATGTCTTCCTCTAACTCAAGATACATAGGTTTAAATAACAATATCTAAAAACTAAGCTTTTACTATTCTTCATATTGCTTGACTTGCTAATCACTGCTTACCATCATCACTGCGCCAAGTGACCTTATAACCAGTTGCCCGGGAGGAACGTGACCATGCGATGCGTATCCCCTGAGATGTAACGTCAACAATGCGCAGGGCAGCCACCGATCCCCCGTTGGGATTAGTCTTACTAGTCAGTGTGACCACCTCTCCAACACGCTGGTCAACCACAGTCGCAACCCCAACTACCAGATCCTCATCCGGCTGCAGGCCGTCCATGGTGAAGGATGTGACCTCCGCCCCCAGAATACGGGACTGCTCTCCACCTGCAAGGCAGAACCGAAAGGAATACAAATGATGCACAAAAACTGAAGACTAAGTACAGATATAAATCAGTCAGATTCAAAATCTGTTTCTTTAAATAGTAATGATGAAATACAGCTTTTGCTATGTGTGCACATGTAAAAATGTGTCTTTGACTGTATATATATATATATATATATATATATATAGTGTTTCCCCTACCATTATCTGCCAACGGAGCCCCGCGCCCCCCCTGAAATTCAAGGTGTTACCAAACATATATATAATTTTTTTTTTAATAATTTTTTTTTCAATATATATAATATATACATAGCACCAAATTGCAACTAATCTATATCTACTGTCACTTTCCACATTGAACATGTGCTCTTTTATTAAATAAACTAAACGCTTTCATTTTAAGTTGAGAGTTTTGTGTTTAGTGTTTTCGACCCTAAGAAACACTGATGCATTAATCAATAACAATAATCCACAGCTCCTCTCTGCTCCGGAGGATTTAAAAAAAAAATATCCCAATGCCACCCCCCCCCCCCCCCCCCCGCTCAGGCAGCACCCCCCCAAAGCAGTAAACCTAGGGAAAACACTGAGATATATATATATATAATCTATTTGCACACATATTTTTATATACATTTGCTTTTATATTCGGGATTGTGGGAAACGCTATTTCGATCTCTCTGTCTGTACACACAAACTGGAAGATTGACAATAAAGTTGACTTTGACTTTTGACTTTGATCTTCATTTTGACCTTAAACATACAAATACATTGATACAAGTTTAAAAAGGATACACTCACAAACACATTGAAAACATACATCATATAACACTTACTGTTGCCTTGTCTCCAGGTAACCTTGTAACCCGTTGCCCCAGCAGCACCTGTCCAGCCTATTCTAATTCGCCGACTGTTGGCGTTTGTCACCCTGAGGTTAGTCACTCTGCCAATACCTTGCTCTGAAATGAAAGGTGTACAGGTCCTCATGTGGCAAAATTCAATGTATTCAGCTTTTTAAGAAAGCAAGTCTGAGGATTTACTTCAAGTAAGACAACAAGAAGACAGCTATGTACTAAATGTACATTCATCGCAGGTATGTATAATACAATTTACAGTATCTATGAACAGCCTTTAAAAATGTACAGTGTTCAGCTAAGTTATGTCAAAATACAGAATAGAAGGTTAATTCAATTAATTCTTAATACAATTAAATGGGTGTTTTGCAAATTTGCTTTTGGGTAGTTACAGGAACATGACAACAGGATGAAGCTACGAGCAGCACGGTCACTGCACCACACACCTGGTTTGATGTAGACAGTGACTGGGTCTCCTTCGTTTTCTCCCACCAGCGCTGTGACACTGACCCCATAAGACACTCCCACCGTCAGGTCTCTGAGGTCCAGGGTCGTCTGGTTTCCAGGGATATTCTGGATTTCCTCTGATCCCCCTGACATGACAAGAAAACACCAGTTGTACTAGTCTGTTTTTATCCATAGTCAGGCACTAACAAGATCTAAATAATTAATTAAAATTAGCCAGTGTACCTGCTTTGTTGAGGATAATGATGCGGTACTGCGTGGCACCGGCTACACCCGTCCAGCCGAGTCGGACGGTACTGCCCAGGGACTCCACAACTCTCAGGTTGGACACCCTCCCCACTGGCTGTTCCTCTGAAACACCAGAGGATTTGCGACACTCGGCTAAACATTTAACTTTTTTTTTTTATTCAAGATTTTATTAATGGCAACCAGTGCCTTTATTGTAGAAACAGAATAAAAGCTGCCAGCTCCACCAATGGAGCTTTAGCCATCCCAACAACAAAATGTTAATATCTCTACAGTAAAACATTTTGAACCGATCTTGGAAGTCAACCCCAGCACATTAATGAACCATCAATCAATCCATAATGAGTTGTGTTCCCCCAGGCTGAGTTACTGACCTCTGTTTAAGGTGGAGACAGGTGTGGCCTCCTCACGACCATCAAACAGGGTGTACAGGTACATGATATATTCTGTTTTGGGCTGAAGGCCTGTTAGCTCATGGCTGGTCGTGGTTCTAGGAAAGGTCAGGCTCTGGATTTGGCCTCCTGGAGAGGAAGCCACATGGTTGGATATTAGTGGGTTTGTTCAAGGATGTGAAAATGTATGACTATTCTGTAACACAGGGTTTCACATTTAAATGCAAGTGTAGTACATTTATGAAAAAAAACAGAACTAGTGCATTGTTCAAGATATACCTAAACTATCAGATTTTATCGTTTTTTTTGTTTTATTTCAGCCATCAAACAAAAAATCAAGTCATCAAGGTACAGTATGAAACTGCATTTAGCATTACTGTTGTCTATTTTAGTTGTGTTTTATGTTTATTTTAAAACAAATACATTTGCATCAACATGATACTTTTAGATTTAGCTATTGTTAGCCTGCATTATTTCATACCGTTTTTGATGATAATAAAAACGTCATAGTACCAATAGTCCTCCTGAAAACTATACAATGTTACATGTTATGTACTAAACAACTACAAAAGGGACAGGTGACATGCATACAGACCTTCCCCCTCCTTCCACTCCAGGCGGTACCCCCGAGATGACAGAATGATTCTCCAGGTGAGGCGGATGGTGGAGGGGCTGGTGGTGGCTGCTCTGAGCACCTGCTGCTCCTGGTGCTCTGAGGGACACACATGATATATCATATGTATGTGATTTTGTGATATGCCATAAGTAAAGTTAGATTTCCATCAACTTATCATTGAAAATGATAGATTGAAATGCCTTATTTTCAATGTGATGAGGCAAAAACTCCACAGTTCCTGTTCTGTGAAGAAGTGTTGACCCTCCTTAAGCTAGTGCGAGTATTCAGTCTAAATCAGTTAAATGTCAAGGTCAGTCAATCTTCATCAGCTGTACATAAACCTGTTAAGCCCGAGCCTGTTTTTCAGGTCTCAGGCTCGAAAATGACATTCCCAGAACAAATGACCATATCTTCCCTTCTAAAAGGGTTAAATTAATAATATTTTTTCTCAAAGCAAGGTTACACCTGTGAGTTGGATGTAGAAGTGTCAGAATCAATATAGATGTTTTTATTTTAAAGTAAATTCAGATTGAACACAGTAAAGAAATGTAAATTATTGTGTCCGTCCAAAAAAAAAAATTACTTATAGTGAAAACCACCCTTGAATGATGGGAGGGTAGACTCAAAGCTTTAGGAATCCAAACTACAACATATAATAAGTAGCCTGTATCAAGATTGATGCAAAACAAGTGAAATTTGACCTTTTTAGAGAGATTTAGCAACAAAAAACACTTCTGGGGTAATTTGGGTGGATTTGACCTATCTCTGGCCCCCCCTTGCTCGATTTTGCTGATTGACATCTCTTTCTAACCGTCAGAGCCAATGGAATCGAGGGGAACTCCCACATACTCCTTATTTGGTAATGTGTGTGTGTGAGACTGACGCATGGCCAAAACCGGAAGCTGACTTTTACTCTCCGATTTTTACATAAAAATGGAATTATGGATTATAAATTAAAAAAAATATTCCACAGAAACATTATCAACCTATCGATTAACCGATTCAGCCGCGTTTTTTCTCGTTTTAATGCCATTGAACAAGTCTTTTGATCAGATTGACAGCTACGGTGAGACGATCTCCCGTAAAAGCTACGTAAAGGTACGTGTTGTGATGTCTGTGTTTGCTTCCCCTGTCGCGAGTTCGGATCACTCAGTGATGATATATATACCTAAATAATCTGTGGAACCTCAGCTTTAATCGGATATATTGTATGTGCAGCTACGATAAGTAATAAGGGTATCTTTTATCTTGAGTTCTGTGCTAAAGTGCGTCAGCATTTTTCGCTCTGGGGTCATTTAGATGCTTCTTATGAGACTTGTGTTTTGTTTTGGTAAAAATGGTTTGGATCATCAGTTAGCTGAGATTCTTCCCGTTAATCTGGTATAACACATTTATAGGTTCTTAAATATTAAGATGCAGTGTCGTGAAAAAAAAGCCCCCGCCGAGGGGGGCTTTGGGGCTTAACAGGTTTTAATTAAAGTTTCCACAAAACCAAAAAGCTGGCTGGTTTTGGTGAAGTTGTGAAAACCAAACAATATACAGAAAGGAAAGATATACAGAAAATAAAATCTAAAAGTCAAACAAAACCAAATTAGGCTTGGCAGGTCGGCCTGAACCTGAACTTAACTAACTTCAACCCTGAGAAGCTCCTACTCCTTGCTTTTAAACAGGAAGTTCCTCCTACAGACAAACCAAAATGGATGCAATGAAATATGTCCAATCAAATAATTAAAAATGTCTAACTTCAAAAATATTGGTTAAAATTAGATCATTTGGGTTACTTTAAAAAGGATATTTCCTAAAAGAATGAAATTACTCAAATCATCATCTTCATCCTTCTGTAGTTTGTATATCATGACATATCCAACATATGATGGCATCTTGTCTTACGTTAGTCTTACAAAGGCAGAACATATGTGCAATAGTCACCGTCAATTGCCGTTATGCAAAATGTGTAATAGATTGTATAAGGGTGTAAATGGAAATATAACTATAGCTGAACATATGACTGACAACATTATCCTGAATATACATCCCACTGTGAAACCCTTCCAAACCATTATTACATCCGTATGCAGCATTTTAACATATTAACATTCACAACCTGCCTAAGGGTTCAAGAATCTGTTGCTAAAAAAAATGGCTGTTTTGAGGTTTGTTTTGTTTTGTTGCCCATATTCTTTCACTGACAGCCAAAAAATACAGTTAGTAAGTTTTATGATTTAAACTCCTCGGCCCTTAGGCTGCAGGTATAGTTGGCTTGCTTCAAAGAAATGCCGTCTGCGACAAAAAATATCACACAGGTCAGACCTGAGAGTACTTTCTCTCTGATACTGTATTTTGCCTAAGTAAATATATCAACAAATCAACAAAAAAGTACCAGGTGTCAGTGTGGAGCACAGAGGTCAGAGAACAAAGTCAGACCAGCCTCGGAGCCACAGGCAGGTGATGTCTGTCTTAGAGTCAGACTATACATACACTAACAAATTCAATGTTACACCATAACAGATTGGATTGAACACCATACAAAGCTATTGAAGTGGTTGGGAATTTAAAAGGAAGATACAAAGAAAACTCAAACCTTAAATGTCATGCAGTCTCAAATATATTGTTTGGGACTTAATGTGAGGGATCCTACATCTGAGAGAATGTTATAAATATCAACAATAAAGTTGCAAATAAATACAGTATAAAAGGCTTTATTCAATGTGGTCTTTTCTAAAACAAGATTCAATGTTTGGAATGTATGAAGGGACAGACAATTTGTCACAAACCGCAGACATCACAAATAGTCACTCTTCTGGTTTACACAGGAACAAACACACAAGGTACTGTGGTGTACAGTATACACAGCACTGTATACATCTTACTTATTTGAAAGCAGGATTTAGCAACACAAGGTTTCCTGTTCAGTACATTGACGCTGCGGTCACTCAGAACTTCATTCAAATAACACCGGTCCGACTGAAGTGACACCATATGGGCATTACTCACAAGAGACAGATGGTGTGTGTGTAACGGGTGTGTAGGTGTGATTAAAATGTTCCTTAAGAAGAGCTAAGCAGTAACATAGAACGGTTTTCAGGAGAGAGACAATCAGCAAAGAAGATTGTTGGTCATCTACTTCATCTCTTCTTTCTGTCCCTGTGCTTAGCAGGGCACAACTGAAGCAACCATATATTCAACAAGCATTATTTCTACTACAATCACTCATTTCAGGAAGACCAAAAGGACACAATACGTGGCATTTTTGTTGATTTTGTTTATGCATATGTGAGTTTTGAGAGGGAATACGGGGCAACAAACACAGAGACCATTTGTTTGGTGCTTTGATAAACTACTGACTACACCTACCCAGACCCGGCGGCAGACATACATCTCTGGGCGGGCATTTGATTTACCAGGGCGGGCCCATCCCGGGAAATCTCGAGATTTGTCAAGGGGGGGGGGGGGAGTTAGGTTGCCATAAGGCTGTTGACGGTCTTATTATAGGCTACATCCATTGGTTGTGTTTGTGGCACATTTGTAACGCTGTGCCAACTTGGGCAAGCACACAGGGTGGAGAGGTGGAGTAAGGTTGAGCGATGGAGAGAAAGGGAGAGAGAGAGATATTGAGCGAGGCAGAGAGCATGTGCAGCGGTCTGCTTGCGCACAGAGCAGGAGTTTGTGAGAGAGCCGGCTTGAGAGTCAATTTCTCTTCAAAATATAATTGATTGCCAGCCTCCCTTGTCCCTGGCTGGCTTGCTAACTCGTTGGTAACGTAACTGATGTCTTCTAATGTGCCTGCATCTGGCGCTGAGTTGCCATATTCCTTTCATGAACCACTTCCTGATATCCATTGTTGCAGATAAATATAAATGATAATAGCCAAACTAACCTAGCAAGAGTAAACTGACAGGCTGCTGTGCCGCATCTCACTCAAAAACCCACACGACTCAACCCAGCGAATAACCAGTCTCGCGCGTAGCCTTTCATTCAGAATTTCATAGCAAAATAAAAAAAATGATATTAAACTAATCTTTCAACATAGTTTAAAACAAAAATAAATATTAGGACAAAGCCCTACAAATAACAACAATAAACATAATCAGTGGCGGCTCCAGAGTATTTCTGTTGGGTAATCTATGGTAGGGCTAACCCATACAGTGCATGGTGGGGCTCAAGTCAGTATTTGCAATGTAATTACATACACGCTCCCCTTGACAGTGAAACGCCACGCGTGAGGTTTAGATTATTTCCCTGTCTCAATCCAAATTGAACTGTATGAAATAAAAAGGCACATTTGTCTTGTTGTAAATAAAAAGGGCGACCTGGAGTCAATCCTGCTATTTCCCCACAGGTGAAAGAGTTGACATTCTGAAAGCCCAACCCCTGCAGGGGGGTCTGGGGGATTCTCTCCCAGGAGATTTTTTGAAATACTAACATAAAATACACATTCTGGTACTCTCTTGAGAAGAAAAATAAATAAATCTATTACTACGCGACATATTTAAAAAAATGAATGCCATTTTAGTTTTGTGTTACTTTGTTCTGAAAGCTGAACCTGCTGCTCCTCACAGAGAGAAGAGGGAGAGGCTGTGAGTTACTTTACATTGTGGATAAGGGTGGATAGCCCCCATTGTTCTGTGTGTCAAAATCAAAGACAGCCCACACACCTATCAATCATCAAACCGTGGGGTCTCATTTCATTATGTGTTGATTTCTATCAACACGTAATGTTGTATCAATGTATATAGAGATGTACTACAGCAAAAGTATTCTCCGTCGGGACTTCCTGCAACAACACCACGCCGTTATCGTGATTCTGATTGGCCAGAAGACATTATCAAAGATGTTCTATTGAGAAGATGATCACTACGTGACAAAAGTTTTCAAACCGTTTATAGTCTTCGGTATTTACTGCTGTCTGTGCAATTTACTCCGCGCGAGTTGGCGGACTTTATTTAGCTTACTTTAAAATCATTTTTCATGGTGGGAATAAGCCATTTCTTGGTATGGCTGTAGTGCCGCCACTGAACATAATAATGAAACAGTTCAAATGTTGTATTCAGCCCTGATTAAAACAGCGGGCCCAAATCCTGGATGGGCGGGCCCCGCCCATGACGCCGGGTCTGCACCTACCTATCTTGAACCTGGCCGTTGCTACAGGACCCTCGTTGATGCCCTCGTACAGCGGGATGATGGTGACGATGTACTCAGTGTCGGCCTGCAGTCTGGACAAAGTGTGAAACACCTCAGTAACCTCCACCGTCTCGACATTTCGTCCTTGGTGAAGGGGAAGGAAAAATGATATATGTAAATACTAACTGTCAGAAAGGAAAGTGTTTTATTTTTTTTATTGTGTGTGTGAGCCTTGTCCTGACCTGTGAAAGGCCCCCAGACCAGACGGTAGGCCCGTGCGCCCCTAACGCCTCTCCACCGCACATGAACACTGCCCTCTGACTCCGTCTGCACTGATAACTGCTCCACTGCCTGAAGGCGCACTAAACACATGCAAAAACATGAACACTCAGTCACTTTGAATAATATTTGCCAATTGTATTGAAACACATTCCAACCACAAGGAGACAGTATCACTATATTTTCAATGTCTGTATTATATTGAGTTGGCTGATTATGATCAAATTACAACTTAAATCTTCATATAACAGTACCAAAGGCATTCATAACAGGCTACAGGGGGGACTCACGTGTGCGGGCGTTGAGGATGGAGGGGGATGCAGAGTTTCGGTTGAAAAGAGGGTAGAGGCTGACAACGTACTCTGTGTCGGGCTGAAGGGACTCCAGGGTGACAGAAGTGGAGTCTGCAGGCAGAGACCGCTCCAACAGCTGAGCAGCGGGCTGACCTGCTCTTCCAAAAAACACATAACAGACAGTGTAAGAAGTGAGGTGGGGGATGCCGAATAATAATTACTTCACTAATTGCAAGCACAAAATATACTGTTTATTAGGAATGCAACAATACTAACATGACATGCTTGGCCAATTTTAATAACAATGTGTCAGTTTTTTTTGTTGCTGCATTACAAGGGGTTACACTTGAATTCATGTTCATTTTGAAGATATTTTGTCATTTTCTGTATGATGATTTATAATTTTAATAATAAATAACAATTCAGTCAAAATGTATCCATGTTTCTAATTGTAACTTTTTTGTTACGAAATTAAGTAAGCATTTGTTAGGTCAAGCCTGATGATGCCTTTGACAATAAGCATGATCATAGTCACTTTCACACAGTGAGGCATACAGCTTAAAATGTAAGACTGGTATTGGATCAGAACTCAGGATGGGCCAATACTCATCAGCATCAGGAATTAAAAAGTTGGATCTTTGCATCCCTAGTGTACAGATTGTTAAACGATATATTAGCTAAGAAAATATGTGATCTGACTTCAATTCATTAAGGTTACCTAATTCTCACCTTTAAGTTTGGCAGCAAGCCAACTATAGAGAGCTTGTCAGAGCCAACTGTGTGTGTGTGTGTGTGTGTGTGTGTGTGTGTGTGTGTGTGTGTGTGTGTGTGTGTGTGTGTGTGTGTGTGTGTGTGTTGTGTGTGTGTGTGTGTGTGTGTGTGTGTGTGTGTGTGTGTGTGTGTGTGTGTGTGTGTGTGTGTGTGTGTGTGTGTGTGTGTGTGTGTGTGTCTTTTAGTATCAGTTTTGATCGCTGGAGTTATCCGTACGAGTACAGGCAGACATAGCAACAGGTAGAAACTTCACACCACTCATTACAGGATACACAGAGTCCTCATTTAAATACTCTCACACATGTTCAGGCCTAACTAGTCAGAAGAGGAGCACCATGTGAGACTGGCACTCCTGCCACATGTTCGGATGCAGAAACTGTTTGTATGAGCCCTCAGGGGCCACTTTTCTCTCCTGAATCACAGCATAGGAACCCAGACATCTTGACACTGTTATAATCTATGCCACACCCTGTCTCTAGACATTTAAGGACAAAATGACTGACAATATGTAACATAAGTGAAGGTTTCCACCATCTATCCATATTTAAAGTTTGGTGATGATGAATATACTTTTATATATTTTAGGTAATGATTTTGCAGAAAAATCCTTGCAAACAGTCGTGCCTGAGGGTGGTAAGCTGTTAGAAAGCTCATGTTTCCTCAGCTATGACTGCTGTACATTCTCAACATGTTTCCAACTTGCCGCCAAAGGTTAACTGCTATCGACTGCTACAGTTTCTTTTCTCCTTCATTTGAAATGTAATCATTCATTCTGTCAAAATAGTTTTTTGTGAAAAGATGATTCTGCTACAACACAGGTACTTAATGTCTGTTTTTTTCAAGCCAAAAAGAGGAGAGAAGTTGCTAATGCACTGTAAGTCAATCAGATGAGAGGCAGAGAGAAAAAGAAAGTATGTTAGACAGAGATAACATACTTATTACAAATAAACTCAACTAAACTAAATAAAAGGTGCTGTGTTCCTGACCTTGTGGTCCATAGGTGAGTCTGTAGCCCTGCACAGGAGTCGAAGGCTGACCCCAGTCCACAGCGAGCGAGAAGGAGCCTGCCTGAGCGAGGCGTAGACTGGTGACCCCTGGCAAAGATCCTTTGTGAAGAGGAAAAATAGACACTGCAGATGTATGACGGTGACACATTAAACATTAAGGGTTCTTTCTTGTGTGGGAGAGGTGTTGAAGATGAAGCAAATGCAGATGTGCAAAAAAAACTGCATTACTCAAATGGCCACTTTATGCTGGCACTAAAAGAGCGTCAATCCCCAAAGACCCCCATGTTAAAATTCCCAACATTACAGCAGAAACACAAATATGAACAGAATAGTACATGAAATTATAAATGCACCTATAGCCTCTACTTCCATTTATTAAAACTGTATTGGGGTTAATTTTTTACAAAACTCACATGTTAAATTATATTATGGCTTAAAGTTATGCATAATTTAGGGCGTGAACGCTTTGAGTGACTGGTGATTAACCTCACAGCCTTGGCTCTTCACATTTGACTTACTTGTTCGTTGTTTGGCAGAAGCAGACTCCCCCAAACTGTTTGGGTATTGGGCAATGACAGTCACCAGGTAGTCGGTTCCTGACCTCAGCTCTCGTGCGGAAAACGTCCTCTGACTGGCAGGGACAGTGTCCTGCGGGGATAGACAGAGGATATTTTGAGAAGTTAGTGACTAATTTAGATGGGTGAGACATGAAATTCTTTTATTTTCATTATGTCTGCCAGGATAAGCAAATGTTACTCTTCGCTCTGCCAAGTTGTAATCCCAACAGCATCTACATAAAGAAGATCCACCCAAAGAAGGAATTTACTTTCAACAGCTGAACCTACCTGACGCATGTCTGCTGTGATAGGCTGACCCAAGCCGGAGAGTGGCACATACTGGATCACATAGCCACTCAAAGGACCCCCCGCTGCACTCCAGCGAAACCTTAGAGTATCAGACGTCTGGCCTGTGAACTGAATGTTTGACGGACCAGAAAACGCCTCTGAAAGCAGGTTGAAACATAGATACAATTAAATGCAGGTTTACAATGTGACAATAAAGTCTGAGTCTACGTTTTTTAAGGTAACCCACATCACCCACATGACCTACATACCATCACTAGCGTAAACTCCTCCTGCTTTGGTACACAGTAGAGGGCTCACAAGAGGAAGAAGAGTGTTCAGCAGTTTAAAGTCCCCAACAAAGGATGTAAAATCACTGCTGGGCTGGGAGGAGATCTGAGACAGTTCACTCCTGTCTGCACTTTTTATACCTAACAAAACACAGAACATTTAAAAAAAAAAGAGAAATCAATGTTGCTTGAGTGAAAAATAAAATCCCAATTTCTTTGCTTTGCAGAGGCACTGCTACAGTAGGTGAGACACTTACCGACTGCAAACACATGAACTCCCTGACTGCGGAGCTTCTGTGCTGGTTCCTGAACGCTGTCTTGTGACTTCCCATCTGTGATCAGGATGGTGATCTGAAATGTACCCACAGGTGGAATAAGAAACACAAAAAGCACTATGTTAAGTATGCAATTTTATAAATATAAAAGTCCTAAGAATGGCTGCTCCTCAGACCTTTGGGACATCCCGACTCGACGCAGGATTGAAGAAGTTATCTGCAACAAACTTGAGACCAGCACCAGTGCGTGTGTTTCCACCCTTATAGTTCAGACTCTCCACAGCGTTGACCAGATCAGTGCCATCCAGGTAGGTAGTCAATTTAAATTCAACTCTGGAGGGAGATACATTTACATTAAATACATAATGCTGCACCTGCTTTAGGATCATTTGTCATTGCATGTACAGAAGAGTAATGAATAGGGATGTAACGATATACTGAATATCGCGGTATCGCGATAAATAAACGTCTCAATACCGTCGTGAGACTGACAAAATCTACCGCGATATTACATGGTTAATTATTATTATTTATTTGAAACCTTTATTTAACCAGGTGGTCCCATTGAGATCATTGATCTCTTTTTCAAGGGAGACCTGTCCAACATGGCAGCAAGTAGGTTACAACATGAACATAAAACAACAGATAACACAAAAGGACATCGTATTTACAGGGCTACATGTACATACCTAGAGACATTGACAAGTACCAACAGTATATTTATATCTCGCCCTGTCAATAAGCCTCACCTTCTTGGCAAAAACTGTATTGTTTTTGAAGTGGTAGAGAGACAATGCACAGTTTTACCCACTGCTGTCACCCATGGCCAAAGCATATCTCTCTGCCCCACAGAGGTGGGGTTAGACTTTTTCGCTGTCCGTCATTTTGACAGACAGGATTGTACGGCAAAGTACGGTTTGGAAAGGTTATCATTTCCTTTTGGAGGGCATGCATAAATCGGCAAACACCAGAGCCTCGCTGTGGGGAAACTTTGGCGCCGTTCCGAGTTTGTTCTAATCTGTCAAAATGACAGACGAGAGTTTTTCCACAGCAGGGGACATTGTAAACGCCCAAACATCCCAGCTTCTACCTGGAAATGTGGACATGCTCATATTCCTAAAAACCTGTCTGATGATGCTGAGTGAGTGAGTTTGAGTTGAGTTACTTGAAAAACTAAAGTGAAACTTGATTTATTTTATTGCAGGGTCTGATTATTATATGTCCTATTTGTGAGATGCAGTGGCACAAAGAAAATGCCTACTTTGTTTGGTAGTAGGCCTACTAGGTCAAAAAACACTGGTTGTTCTTGTTCCAGTCTGTTACTGTCACTTTGTTTTTGATACTTTAAAATACTACTATCCTACTAAAATGCTGTACAAATCAGATTTATTATTTAATAAAGACATTTTTTTCAAGTAAAAAAAAAAGAATTCAAAATAAATGTTTCCCCCAAAAGTCTTTGAACTTTTTTTTAAATTTATTTTTCAATATCGCGACAAATATCATACCGTGGACTTGTTATCGCGATATTATCGTACTGTGAGTTTTTGGTATCGTTACATCCCTAGTAATGAATATGAATGTTTGTGAATATTAATCATTTCAGTCACCTGGAGGTGTCGCTGTATTGTATTGCACCAAACCGTATCCCGGTCTCGCTGACAAAGCTGGCAAATGGTTTGACGATTCCAGTCATGAAGCCTTTCACCTGAAGAAAGTTTGCTCGGCCAATACTGGAAGACCCGTCAACCAGGAAAACAATATCTGCTGCTTGCACATTATTACACTTGCCTGCAAATACAGAGGGATGAAGAATACATTGAGAGAACACACTTTTTGTCCACGTGAGGAGGCAAATTGGAGCTGGTGTGGTAGTTGGGAGGATCATTTGATTTATATTTACCCTGAGCTTCAGCCTGTTTCATGGAGAACAGCAGGACAGTCACAGTGAAAAACCAGGTCCCCATCTTCACAAACCTGGGCACAAAGAGAGTAGATTACACTTGTTTTATCATGTCTGAAACCATCAGAACTCAATGCAAAACAGTCTGACCACATTACAAAATTGTAATTTTATAGTTATTTTACATTTTCTGTTAATAGCAGCATTTGTTTCATAAACATTTAATTGAAGCCCCCTTTTGAATTACATTGTATCGAATGGGTGTACAAACTTTGAAGAAAGACCTTTATGTACCTATATGTTGTTTTGTTATCATTCATTTTGCTAATGTATAACAATTAAAAAATGGTACTCTTTGAGACCATCAAAGTAGTACCAGTAAATGGAGAAAAATACATTTGATTGGGAACCAAATGTATTACAAAATATATAAACCTGAAAACATTTTTTATTATTCATTCTTGCAGGGTTAGACCGCCTTGTTTTTGTTTAAACTAATACTCCTTCTTTCCTTGTGGCTTCAGGTCGTGTAAGTCTCTGTTGGAACCCTCTTCTGTCAGATCAAATGTTGCCATCCATAATATTCTTCACAATCATCAAAATGTCAATGTCAAAGTCAACATTATTGTCAATCTTCCAGTTTGTGGTGTCAGACAGTCATATTTGTTTTTAATTTATTTGAGGCTCCTAATGTTATTACGTTCCTGTTCAGCTGCATTACACGTCATTTGTTCCACAGCCTACAGTATGTTGAGGGTAGTTAAGCCCTGTTATTTGTCAGTCTCCATGTTTCTTTAGAGTTATTGCCATTGTTCCTGCCTGTACCTGTTCTGAACCACCTAGCATCTTTGATATATACGCCTATATGCCTGCCAACCTCCCTTTGAACACATTTTCTTGATCTAAATGTTTGTCTGACTACCAAGTGTTTCGCTTGTATTATACCAGTTAAACTTGACAAGATGCTTTAGGTGAAAGTCATGTTTGCATGTTACATGTTCACTGTTAGCATTGTAAAACTACTCGGACTAAATAGTTCCTACTTCCTACACTAGCATAAATACCCAAATCAGAGCCTCTAGTGCAAGTTAAGGCAGGAATATGAAATTGATCAATTACAATAAAACCAAAACAAACATTAACACCTGTTAAGATGGCTTACTGATTCGAAATTACCATATATTGTTATGATGAATATAATAAGACCTTCAAATTACAATGAATAACGACCTCAAAATCTGCACACTGAAGCCAGGGAAAATATTATTGTAACTCTTGTCATTAACTTTGTGTCAATACAAACATTGACCTGCAATGTGGACACATCCAAATGAATGGCAAATACCAGATACGCATAAACAAATGTTCCCTGACCTGCAACTCGAAACTCAAGTTGATAAAATATGTTTATGCAATTGTGATCTGTGAGTATGAAATCAACTCCCCACATATTTAACAATTCATTTTCTTAATTGCCAAAACAGAACTACATTGTCCATCATGCACTGTTGTGACAACGCAACACAGTAAACATCACAAACACTTAATCATGTATGTTGGAAACACATTGAGCAATGTAATGATGAAGATGATCTGCTTATGTTTTACTTTTCATTACTTGTATTGTATTTGTTGTGTGTATGCAAATATTAACAATGTGATATATTTACATTATACTTGGCGTCACACATTTATGTCCTAAAATGTCATATAAAAAAGGCAACATTTGTTCTCCTTACCAGCTAAATTAATCACTGCATTCTCGCATAAAATAAATCAGGACAAAATGTATGTACAAATGAATGTACAGCAGATAAACTCCTCTAAAGTCTGTTGGCCAGATTTAACTATTTTTGTTTCAGGAGTGAAGCACATACTCATCTACTGCCCACTCACTGCATGAACCATATTTCCATAAGAATGTACTACTATATGTCTGGAGTGCAAAAGCCAGAACAGAATGCAATTGTGTTATTATGAAAGTGAATTTTTACATTCTTTGGTGCATACAATAAGACAGTCCAGGACTTTCACATGTAGATTTTCTTTTTGGCCTGTGTCACATTTACAAATCATCATCATCATCACTGCTCACAAGTTAGGAGCTAAACTATCAATCTCAGCCAATTTCTGTGACAGCAATCATCTGATAAGCGGAATCCGATATGTATGTGGGGTACTTCTTTCCATAACAACCTATATACACAATCACCTATTCATAGAGGTAATGCAAGACACAGTGGCACTGGCTACTGCAAATAGCTGACAGATGTTGAGCCAACGGACAAAACCTCTGATCTACTCCGTAGAGCTATGGTAGCTACAGTAAACATTGTCAGGATCAAAACCACTGGGAACCACTTAAGTTGATGAAACCAAATGTATAAGAGAGAGCAGCAGGACAACATCAGACATACGTGATTTTCTGAGCATGTAAAGGAATGCAAGGAAAATCAACATCATCTGGAATGTGGTAGGACATTGACCTGAACCAGACTGACTGTCAGTGCTCCCCTGAGAACTAGCCCACATGAGACAGCTGTAGTTGATAATCACGCAGACAAGCCCCAAAACATTCCCAGGAGACAGAAAAAAGGGCTCTTGCTGCAGTGCTGTACTATTATACTATGGCTATACAATAGCTGTTCCGGATAGTTTCGCATTTTGTGAGAAACATGTATTGGCTTCTTTCTAAGAGTTGGATGAGAAAACTGACACCATTGTCACATCTATCTCATACATAGCAGTACACGGCCCAAGTTAGCTTAGCTTAGCAAACAGGGAGACACTGCTTTCTCAGTTGGATATTATTGCAAAAATTAAAGCAAAAAAAAATGCTGTTGTTTTAATCACTGCACCTGGCCAAGAAACAGTTTGACACACAACCCCTCCTAAAACCATAACAACTAATTGTTTAACTATAGTTTTTGCATGGATTAAACAAACAATATATGACAACATGTTCATTTGTGAGCTTTAGGGGTTCTGGCAGCTGGATTTTGTTACCTTTGGGCAGAGTCTTGCTTTTTCAACCATTTTGCCAATCTTTATGCTAAGCTAAGCTAAATGTCCTCTGGCTGTAGCTTTACATTGACCTACAGATGTGAGTGTGGGATCAATCTTCTAATCTATCCTTCTCTAAGAAAGAACATTTGCAAGTTTCCCAAAATGTTGAAACTATTCCTAAATAATTATGTTATTATCTGGTGTGAGGGTTAGGGTAATGTTGTGAATCGAGTGGCCCATGGTGGTGGTGGGGTTATGGTATGGGCAGGCGTATGTTATGGACGACGAACACAGGCCACTCGATTCACAACATTATCCTAACCCTAACCCTACCCCTCACACCAGATACTGACTGGTTTTCGGACCCCCCCAGACCCCCCCCAATAAAGCAAAAATGCACGTTTCAGAGTGGCCTTTTATTATGGCCAGCCTAAGGCACACCTGTGCAATAATCATGCTGTCTAATCAGCATCTTGATATGCCACACCTGTGAGGTGGGATGGATTATCTCGGCAAAGGAGAAGTGCTCACTATCACAGATTTTTTCAGATTTGTGAACAATATTTGAGAGAAATGGTTATTTTGTGTATATAGAAAATGTTTTAGATCTTTGAGTTCATCTCATGAAAAATGGGAGCAAAAACCGAAGTGTTGCGTTTATATTTTTGTTCAGTGTACACTGTGTAGTGAATACTCATTATCAAACTCTAAAAACCCTTATGACTAAAAATACACCAGAATCTCTTGGCCTTTTCCCATTTTATTTTATTTGTTCAAGACATTTCTTCAAGCCGGAAGCTGAATGCCACTTACCATGAATGTGTGTTCCTGATTTAAGATGCAGAGCCCACAAAACCAACAGTTGTTTTTACCAAACTCAAAAGGCACACATTAGCTTAATATGTTCCAAATGTAATGCTCATTTCCGTTTTTTTAAAGTATTTATTCTCAGACTTCTACGGCAATACAATTAAATAAGGTACAATTAGCTCATGACGAGCCACATCAGCATGTTCACCTTTGATGTTATTTTAATTTGCTGTAATCTAATGAAACCATGCATATTTCTGGTTTCATTATGTTAACCAGGTTTTGAGACCACAGTCCATACCCACAGCCTTTTCTGAGCAATTGCATCTTGACTTACTTAACAGATCATAATTAAAAGGCATTAATTACGTGAGAGCCATCAAAAAACTGCTGGAAACTAAAATTGGTATCGGTATATGTTGAAAGCTTTCTCTTCCTGTCACTCACACAATATACCTACAAACCCTACTGTAATTAAGGCCCCTTTCTAAAGTTAGAGTACTGTGGGAGTAACATCCTTTGCTGATAAAGTCATGTTTTATTACAGCATATGCAAATACATTCATCAAGTACATTCCTAGGGTGGCCTCCACACCTGGAATTGTTTAAAGAAGAAAGTAACTGCTTTATAGCCCCACCCACCATAGGCCACCTGGGACTTAAACAAAACACAGGGGTTTAGAAGGTCAATGTTTAGTATCAAAGTGCAGCTAAATGCCACCCTCAACAGTAGTCAAGTGAGGACTGGGTGTGGGGAAAAAACAACCTGTCATAAGGGCATAGATAGAGGAAGAAAAGGACTTTGCGGGGACAGGAAGAAAAAGAGATTTGGACTCATCCCACTGAATCTGGTGGGAGCAGTACAGAGGCTGCATTCTGAAAGCTCGGCTCAGGCAGGATCACAGAGTTGTGGTTTAGTAGAGATGCCATTCTCCCAGGGGGGCGGCGGGCCACAGTGCAGGATTGGGTAAGAGCCAGTTACTCTCAGCATAACATCAGTCATCAGGGGACAGAAAGTGACACACATGGACAGGGGGATGTAGGGTCATATTAGGGTGGGGTGCCACAGTAAATTACCAAAGTCTCCTGCAAATTTGCTCACACACCAGAATGTTGTGTACTTGGATAACAAAAGCTGCTGGTGGCAAGAACAGAAGAGACTTACTCCGAGTCTGTTTGGGGGTCAAAACAAGTTGACTGGTCATTCACCTTTGACCTGTGCCCTCAGGTCAAGTGCAGCATGCCTCACTTCCGTCAATAATGAACTTTAAGTCAGTTTCTTCATCCAAGCTAAACAAAAGTACTAAAAGCAGTCAGCTTTTAAAAATATTCTGTGACCTCTTGTTGGAACAAGTTTCAAAGGAACCACTAATCTTATCCTCCTTTTTTACAAGCTTTGTGTTACTATTTACAATAGCCAGATGGAATAAATCAGGGAAATTATTGCATTTACCAATAGGGTATCTCGGTCAAAGACATAAATGAATGAAGACAAAAGTTTAAAATCCCCTAGTTTACAGCTAGTTTATTCCAAAAATAAATACAGGAAAACGTTTGTAAGAACCAGTAACATTAAAAAAAATACTTAAAACACCCAGAACTTTTCCTTAAAAAGGCCCATTGTTGTTGACATTGTGAAGGAAACAACAATATTTAAAAGTACCCCTCTGGAAATAATGTTCTATTATGGTTAACAGAAAATGTTCCCTTCAAAAAACATCAAACAGACCCAGTAATCAGCAACAGTCCTCTGGATGACACACTTGGGATCAGTCCATATTGCACCAGAGTGGCACGCAAGAAAGGAAACCAAGTATGGCTGCATTGATAATGTGAATGAAAAGAGGAGGAGGGGGGCACTGAAGGTGAGGCAGAGAGGAAGGGTCTAATAATTAATGCTAAAGGATTTTTTTGAGCCATTAATTAAAACGTCAATATCAATGGAATTATATCCCGGTGTTGCGTGAGAGACAGACCACAGCAAAACATGGATGCACTTAGAAGTGGAACAGACAATTGAAACCAACGAGACATAAAAGCAGAGAAGGCAGAGGAGGAAGTGAAGGAGTTGATGCCCTTCCTTTGTGCAGCATCATGGTGTAGCAGCCAGGAGTATAGCCCTATAACCAAATGGGTTCAGCTGAGGTCAACTTGCTTGTGCACTCCCCCGTTTTCCTTTGCAACTGTAATGAACACTTATGCAAAGTCAGACAATGTTTGTAAGGGGTATAATTAGGCCTACATATTATGTGGGAGTTAGACATCCGTTCCTTTAAATAGACATTACAAATAAATTCTGATAAATTACATTTCATGAAGGGTGAAAAAAAGGAGATTGTTCTGCTCAGTCTTGTTCAAAGTCAAGGGTTTGTTGCAGGAAAATTAATAATCTGAGGAGTTGAGTATTGGCAGATATAAGTGCCCATCGCCCAACTAGACTAGAGTTATCACCTAACAGCATGAACATGCAGAGTAAATCAATGCAGAAATACATTTTCATCCAAACATACATATATATATATATATATTTCTGTAAAATATAAGTAGAAATGCAGCTTAAAAGTGTGCACAGCCTCAATTCAGAAAAGCACCAGTAATTCCATAAATATATTTTTATTATGCAAGTGCACATGAGACACAAGGGCTGCCACAGAGCCCATCGCCGGGGATCAGCTCCCCGCCTCTGACTCCTCTTACCTGGGGAAGTCTGCTCCGTGCACTGGGGCCACAGCCTGCCGCTCCTCACCTTTCCACCTGTGGCATATCCAGCCCGAGCTCTCCGTGCACTGTCTGGAAGTCACAGAAGTATTCCCAGTCACCCGTGTCCAAAGTCACAGCTGCAAAAAAACAGAAGGCAATGATCCACTGTAGCTCAATAAGTGAACTTCTGTCGCTGCATCCCTTCAGGAGACGTAAACGCGTTGAACTGAACACAAGCAGCAGCAGAACAGTCCAGACTTGTTGGGATGCCTGAAGGGGAGTCCTACGCTCTCCCTTTCTGCCTTTTTCCCCACCTCATTCTCACCGCCTCTTGTCCCTCCCTGCCCTGCTCCTGCTAGCAACCCACGTTCCCAAGCAGAGCTGTAACTTTAGCCCAGAAATCCCGCTATTTTTTTTTTTTTAAAAACACTATCGGGGTCACGATTTCACACAGGTTGATTTTTTTTAACTCCCACGTGGTTTAGTTGCCTGCTTTAAATGTAAGCAGGAACATACAGGTTGACAACAAATCCAAAGAATAATACACACGTTTTCTTTAACAAATTAAATCTACTTGTATAAATGTGTTTTTGGTTAAATGTTTTTATCTTGTTGAAGTTCAATGTTTTATGTTTTTTTGTAAAAAACCCTACAATTGACAAATGAAAAAATACAAAAGGATAAGTGGGGTCAGGTCAGCTGTCACAATGTATACTTTTTTTTATACCTAATTTGTTCTGTGTGGTTCACTTATTATGCTTATTTGTTAGGATATTTTTTGTTTAAGCCTGATCAGCACTAACCCCATGGCAATTGTAACCTAACCAAGCTACCAGTGAACCAGGTTAATATATTTTCGATTTAAACTGTTTGAGGGATACATTTTCAAACCCAACTGAGCAGATGCATGCAAAGATGCAAAGCATGCTATGTTAAAATGGAAATGTTAATGTTAGAATGAGTCGCTTGGATTTTGAGACCAAGTTTTGGTCTCAAAATCATTGAGTTTTCTGAGCTCTCTCAGGCCCTGTGGCATTAGAAATTAGATTACTGTGGCATTTAACTTACTCATGAAAGTATTCATGTTAGCACAATACATTTCTAAGTGAAGCCATAGGAATTAAATATTACCTCCATTCGTATTTCTTTATGTTCTCAATGTTCTAACCATATTGTAAGCCATGGGGCAGTAATGCCAAGACTGATACATTTCATCAATAATGTTTCATCCTCTTTTTTTCGGATATACACTGCCTTTGCAACACATTTACTGTTCAGATGGAGGGAGAGAGAGAGAGAAGACAGAGGGTGGTGTGAAGCACACAGTGCTCCAAATAAATCTGTGCAAGGCAGATGTTCTTATGCAGCTCTGGATCTTTAAATCAGCCAACAGAACTGAAACCGTAACCATGCTGCACTAATAAAAACACATTCCAGCTCTAGTGTGCGTGTTCTCCCAACACTGCAATTTTAGCCTGACTTGGTTAGGGACAATGGAGACAAGATGACTTGTGGTTTAAACTGCTTCGATTTACACTTTGCTCACAGTTTCCCACCTAAAAATATGTTCCTTTAAACATTCTCATGTGACATCCCTCAACATGAGCAGGCTACAAAAGTAAACCTAAGAATGGCTACTCTGTGATGAAGGTGCATTTTGCTTTAGGACAGTTATCCCATCCCTACTCTTTTGATGAATATGTTCAATAGCCAATGCCAACTGTGGTGATAAGGGTAATTTTCCTCTCATGATTTCACCATTATTATAATAATTTGACTTTGAGAATCTAAAACACGGTTTTGCTGAAATCAAAAGGAACAAAAACAGCTATTTGGCCCAGCTAACCCACCTAACAACAGTGGAAGAAAAATAAATCGTATAATTTCTCAATTACACTACGTTATCTCATGATGTGTAGCCAAGATAAAATGACAGTGAAAAGATATACCATCTTCAACTCTTTGGCCAACAGTGAGCAATTGTTGTCATTGTCAGCACTAGTGACATCAGGACAGCAGAGAGCCTGCACATCTTCCGGCGCAGACTGAAAACTCATCTCTTTCGACTCCACTTCGAGTGATAGAATTACTAACAAAGAACTGCTAACAGAGCACTTATATACTAATAAAGGACTGGCTTATCTATAGCCAGTTGAGTAGCACTTGAAATGTTTGGCTCTATGAAACCTGATGTACTTATATGATTCTGTTTTCTTCAAGGTTGTGTCTTCCTGGTCGAATGTACTTATTGTAAGTCGCTTTGGATAAAAGCGTCAGCTAAATGCAATGTAATGTAATGTAATATTGCTTCTCAAGGCAGGGTTCAGTACAAGCAGGCAGGAGGACCCAGCAAACAAGATAATAAGGAAATAAGATGAGAAAAGAAGGCATGGAGTCTAGCTTGTAGTAATGTGCGAAACCACACTCCTAGCAAGCAGGCGCAGCTGTCAATAAACAGGTGGGAACATGTTTGTTTTTTTATGAGGGAATGGGTTGGAGTTGGATACTTAAAAAAATATGAAATCATCCTTTTAATACATTTGTCAGTCACAGCAGTGCTAAACAGATTTGTTATTGTCTCTTATAAAAACATATATAATTGTTATCTCTTTGACAACAATGATTTTCAAAAATAAATGTATTTTCATCCTACAATTTAAAAGCACATTTTAATATGCAGGTTTAATTATTTGGTTAAAAAAGTGAGTCATTTCGTTTTCTTGAAACTAAAATGTAAGTTGAATTCAGCAAAGAATATAATTGATTTATCACATTTTAATTGCGGCTTTAGGGTTTTGTTTTGTTTCCAGCTGAAGCGAGGAATGCAAAGCAACTGAAGGATGACATGTGCAGTCTGTTTTCAGTGCTTCCTGTTTTATAACTGACACGGATTTACAGAACTGCTTGCTCTCCATTTCAAGCCGATTCAACTGGATTTAAAGATGTGTGACAATGTAGGGGGATAGGAGAGATTACAAGAAAGGGAAGTGTTCATTTTCTGTGGGGAGTCATTTTCCCTTTCAGCTTTGTAAATATAGGCCTATTGTGTAGGTGGATTTGGTGTTTTTTTCTGTGGTTGTGTATACAAGAGTGCAGGCCGATGAGAAGAGTCATGTAGACTGAGACAGAGCCAATGCTAAGAATGTGTGTTTACTTTTCCTGAGAGCTGAGGTGGATAATTTATTTTAGAAAAATTGTTGGATATTTTTGTTGAAATTCTTCTAACATTCCAAAAGCAGCCTAATCAAAAATACTAATGCTCCAACATAAACACTGAATAAAATCTGGTGTCTACGACTGTTCAATGGACTGTAAGTCCCTCCATGACCTGCCTGTCTCTCTACCTGTGTGTCTATCTGCCTGTTTACCTGCCTGTCTCTCTACCTGTCTCTCTACCTGCCTGCGCGCAACCTGCGTGTGCACTCATTGCGCGTCACTGGAGTCTTCCAAAACTTCCTAGTTCACAGCTGTGAGTAGGCTACACACCATAGACTGGAAATAAAGGTACAAACTTTAGCCATTTTCGTGGCAAAATGTTTTGTTGTGGAGTTGCTTTGTAGGGAGGCCTGAAGGCGCGGGTTGTCACTGTCAGTGTGTGCCCACTTGGCCAATTGCTTTCTGTTTTTAGAAACTTCTGCTAGCGTCTACGAGGCAGCATGGGGCTGGGCTTGAAGCAGCCAGCAAGGGTAATCTACTTTACCCTTGCTGGCTGTTTCAGATGTTACACAAATTGCAAAGGTTACAGTTTTACCCGTGTGTGGGCCGCAGGCACATAAGAGAGATGATTTAACTCAACACAGTCAGGTATTCACAGGCTGCACTCCCCTCGTTCGTTCAGGCAGTTTGATACAGGAGAGATGGATGAACAGCTCTTCTCTCTTGTTGTGATCCTCTATTCTTTCACACACAGTGACGTCACGAGCTACCCACAACGCAACACGCGCCATATATATATATATATAAATACGCCATTTTCATGGAGGTGCAAATATCCTGGAAGTGCAAATATAAACAGCTAGCTAACGTAGCAAGGCAGAGCGCACTAGTTTTTTTTTCTGAATTAACGACCGAAGAAATCGCTGCATGTCTTCGGATTACATCTCTGGACTTGAGGGGTGTGCTCTAGGTCGTTACCAGCGTAAACTAGAGCTGTGTGGGTTGTCGGATTGCCCTTACAGACTGCGTCGATTTTGGCTGCATCTACGTCTAATTTCTGGAAACACCAGGTGAATACCCCACTTGTCACAATAATATTATCATGCCATTGCATATGTGGTATTTTAGAGTTGACTAGATATTGATTAAGGCAATAGACTATGATATTCAGTACAGGAAGCTTAGCAACACCGGGGCTAGACGGTGTAGGGCTAAACCCTTGGCCTGCTTGCACCTCGCGTAAAACGGCGGATACCGGAAGTACGGTGTCGCCCTCGGCCCAATACCCGTATGTGTGTGTGTGAAAGAATAGCCTGCAGCATTCTCTCTACAGTAAATATACCACCTGTCATAGGTGAAATAGCACAGTGACCTGCTCTCATACTCCATTACAAAGGCTGTTGATTAAAATAGGGTAAAGGAAAGTGGAACAATTATTGAAATATTCCAATCATAGTCAATGTTATACGTCATGCTTGTTGGGCTTTAACAAGAAAACTTCATTTTGTATCGGAGCTTAAAGAGCAACTTGCAGGTTAGAGACCCCAGTGAATAAATGTGTAGGACAATTATGTATACTGTGGTGTCACGTGTGAGGACATAATTCACTGTGTGTTTGGTGTGTGTTGCAACCCGGACCCGTTAGCGAGGGCACCGGGTTGGTGGTTCATTCATGCTAGCTTCACATGCAGTAACAGCTAAGTATTACCTGTCTGATGTTTCAAGATAATAAAGTGTGGAGTTCTATACTGAACACCCCGCCTACGACTCCCATTCATCGGCTCTACACTGGTGACCCCGACGTTTTCGAGAAAGTTTCCGAAGACCCAATGAACATGGCTAATTGCGATGTTTTCGTAAAGCTGCCGGAGTTTTGGGAGCATGCCGCTGCGGCGTGGTTTGCACACGTGGAGGTGCACTTCGCTTGCCGACAGGTCCGTGACGGGGACCTGAAATACTATGTTGTAGCAGCGCTGGGAAGCTCCACGTCGTCCAGGTTGGTCGGATTTATAGCAGACCCCCCACACCATGGCAAATATGAGGCGATTAAGGCCCTTCTCCTTAAGACAT